TATGTTTTTATTGTTCAAGATTTTATTTATTCGCTTGGCTTGCCGTAGCCAATATTTCTTTATATTTTTATTGGTGTGATCAACTTTCATACCTTGTTCAGGAAGCAATAAGCTATGAAAATCCAAAATAGATTTTCCATATCGATAATTGTGCAATCCAGGGGGAAATACTACAGTATTGGAGCACTGATCACAAATCTATCCTGTGGGTGCGAGTCCTTGATGCTATTGCAAAGGTCGTAATCCGGTGTATGGATATTCATGTGGATATTCGTGTGGATATTCACACGTTGAATTATTCAGTGTGAGGTGGGAGCCATCCACCACGTGGCGACTCCTTGCGGACATGGACTTGTTTTCCAATATCCATATTTTTCCCAGAGCAAGCCAACCAATTGTGTAAATTATTCAAATAGGCTGTCCTAATTGGTCTGGTCGGTAATGGTCTAAAATGCTAAACCTTGCCTGCATCTTTGGGGACATGCGAGCGGACAGGTGTCCTTTCGTAAGGCTCATGTTGCTTCAATTTCAAGTTTTTATAGATTTACCCCTGTTGGTGACTTACGTCAAATAAATGTTCGACCTTTGACATTGGGGACTTTAAGGTGTTTGTCACGAAAAGCGGTTTTTTACTTTTGCCTACAGGAGAAAGCATAATAAACACCCAAATTTATATTTTATGTGATTTGTGTTTGGGCTAAATTTAGTCATTGGTTTTAAAGTTGTTCAATAAATAGCAGAAAGTCAAAATATGACGTAAATACATATGACAATAACATTACAATTACGTTACTTTTCAAGTACCAAAGAATGTGTTTTAAGCAACAGATTAAAAAAACTTTTAAATTCAACTTTTAATTTTTACCAGGCATGGCCAAGTTTGTTTTGTTATCAGTCAGCAGCAAAAAATAAAAAGATTTAAAAAGGAAACAGAGGGAACAGAGGAAACGCTTTAATAAAAAAGATAAATATTTTGTATCTTATAGATGTAGTACCGCAATTTTAAAGCTCTATCACTCAAAAGTCGCATCATGTAACTTATAAGTATTACAAATAGACAAATTGAGCCTAAAACGCAAAGCTAGACGCAATCAGTAGATTAATAAAAATAAATGGAAAATTCACAAACAAGCAGTTTCAACCGATCCGCCTCCCTCTCTTCCACAAACCATTCATACCCACACACACACTCACTGTACATGCAGTGTGTATTATTCAATTGGATAAAGAATAGTCCATCTCTCTCTTCGAGCGCAACTGGGTGAGAGCGCGGTGGGCGGGGGTGTTAGGGGAGGAATTGCTGTCCAAGGTTAATTTTATTTATCTGCAGCTTGGATTTGAATAAATGAAGCAACTAACCGAACGGAAACGATCCACAAAGAGCCCTTGCGAGGCGCACTGAATTAGGGGCTTTGCCATCGCATAATGCACCATTTAAATTGATAGGTACGTGTAAACAGGCAGTGGGACACGCCTATAAGGCCGCCCACTCCACACGGAATTGAGACGGGAGACGGGAAAATGCAATGTACACACCTTCATCACCAGCTCAAAAGGATATTTGTAGACGCGAACGGGGGACTGGAATTTTTGCACCATCTTGTTGCCTTTCTATCGTCCGTTGCGAGTTTTTTAATTCTAATTCTTGTTGCACTGATTGTAGAGTTCGCACTGTTTTAAAAATCAATTTTCACTCTGCGCTTTTCCGTTGCAGTCGCGGGGGCGGCGGGGAGGCAACCAAACTTGGGCACTAAATTCCGAGCTGTATTTCTGTTTTGCTCGTGACAGTTCACGCCACTGCTATCTATTTCACTGAATTGTGTCTGGTATCCGTTGGCTCCTAGCGTAGGAGTCCTAGAGAACCGCCTGGCCGTGGAAAACAGAGAAAGCCTTTCTCCCAGTTTGATTAACAGACGCCAATGGTGTGACCGCTTTCGGTTAGGTGGCATTCGCCCAGAGAAAATAGCCGATGAATACCAAAGATGGTTCTGATTACACTGCACTTGCGATATGCCGCATACACACCGCCGTTTGAAAGTGCTGATGCGAAACTTTCACACCGAACGTAATTGACCAATGCAAATAAAACAAACCGCAGAAGAAAGAAAATGGATTGGTGCTGAAAGTTGAGTAGATTGCGTAGAAAACAGCCGACTTCATTTTCGATAGCTATTTAATCAAATTTACATGCGACCTCCTTCGGAAAGTCTAAACAAATCTTAACACTTTTAAAAGCGACACCTGTGGTAGTTTTCATGAAGTTTAGTTGCTGTACTGCTGTTCGGGACTTAAATGTTTACAAATAAATGCTTTTAAATTCATTTTAAATGAATTTATTAAATATGAGTAGTAAATAATATCGCTTTAAGCGATATGTAACCGTCATAGGAGTGGCAACACTGGCTGCGGAAAGGGCAAAAGAAATCAAAAATCAATAGCCGGGGGATCGAGTACCAATCCCCTGCAGGATGAGCATCGACGACGTTATCTACGTGATCTGCCTGCTGGCCTGCATCGGAGCTGGCAGCTATGTGAGGAAGATCGCGGACGAGGGCCAGCGCAAGCTGGTGTCCACTGCGCTGGGCGTTGTTGTGGTTGTCATTGTCTCGGGGCTCCACAGCCTGCACTGCTTTGTTTCCCTGGCACTGGGAACGGCTTCCGTGCTGCTGGTGCACCCGAGGTGAGCTGGGGTTCCAGAACCTCTGGAAACGGCCAATAACCAATATCTCCCTCTTTCAGCAAGGGTCACCTGGTCACCTTTGCGGTCATGTTTGGCTACCTGGTGTTCTTCCGCATGTTCGACTTCTACCAAGGCATTCCCGGGCACACCAACATGATACAAATGCTACTGACACTGAAGGTGGGTTGCATAACCATCTAATCATTGTCATTACTTGATTAGCCATTCTTGTACCCGTAGGTTTCGGGTATTGCCTTCGAGAGGACGGCCGCCTGGAAGAGGCTGCTGGCACACGGGGATCAGAAGAAGAGATCCCACGAAGATGTGAATGAGGAGATTGTAACCGAGATCACCGATTACGATGTCAAATTGCAGAACCTGAGTGCCGCTGAGATCCTCCACTACAGCTTCAACTACATCGGAGTTCTTACAGGTGAAGATCGAGCCAGGTTCAACGTAAATAGTTTCCTATCCACAATCAGTAAAACAGTCTGTCTAGTCGCATTGCAAGTAGATACCAAAGTCCATGTCAATTGCTGATTGTTAAACGTTACTTACACATGCTTATAATCGAATTCAATAAGTATTGTATAATCGATTTGTTCTTGTAAATCTGCATTTAAAGCGGAATCACTCATGTAAATTAATTGCAGGTCCCTATTATCGGTATCGCACATACATGGACTACTTTGAGATGCCGTTCAAGACCCACGCTCCATGCGTTGAAGCCACCCTGAAGAAACTCAAATACGCTGCTTTCTATTGCGCACTATACCTGGCAACGAACTACATGTGGCCACTGGATGTGAGTGCTTAAGCACACGACAAAACATAACTAAATTGATTACATTTCAGTATGCGTTGAGTGATGAGTTCTTCAACGATCGCTCCTTTGTGTACCGCTTGCTGTACGTGTGGCCCACGTTCTTCACATTCCGAGCTCGCATCTACACCGGCTTGACCCTCAGCGAATGTGTCTGCACAATGGCCGGCTTCGGAGCCTATCCGGACACGTCGGATCCCAACAATGGCGAGGGGCCGCGGCAGCGCTACCAGCACCTCAAGCACGACGCCGAGAAGCACACCTACAACTTCAGAACTATCGTAAACACCAGGGTTCTGGAGGTGGAAAGATGCTGGACCTTCCGCGAGGGCATGAAGCACTGGAATGTCTGCGTCCAGTATTGGTTGGCTGTCAATGTGTACAAGCTCTTCCCCAGCAAGAAGTACAGGTGCGTTTTTATACCCAATCTATTATTCCTTTTTATACCTATTATATATTATTTCTATTATACCAAATTGGTCAATTAGTCCACGTCGGGGTTTAAATGTTAAGATATTTCATAGAATCGTAGTTATTGTTGTTCTACTGCTTGGTGCTCGTATTACTTTTGTCGTTGTTCTTTTCCTTTGCAACTGATCGCAGGGTTGACAGGTATTCCTAGTAGTTACCTAACCCTTACTAATTGGCTTTTGTCATATTCCTAGGACTGGCGCCACTTTGCTATGCTCTGCCTACTGGCACGGATTCCGGCCGGGACACTACTTCTGCATCATGGGCGCACCCTTCTACGTTTCCTTGGAGGACATGTGGGACAAGCTGGTGCGCAAGAATGCCACCGGCACTAGCCGCCGGGTAATCGATGTTATCTTCTGGATCTTCAAGTGGTTCGCCTTCAGCTACTTGGGCGAGGCCTTCCTGCTCTCCTCCTTTGGCAAAATCTGGAGATTCTATGGCTCGGTCTATCACATTGGATACATCAGTTGGGCGGTGATGACTGCGTTGGGATTTTACCTCACCAGTCAGAAACGTAGAAAGTATAAAGCTGCAGAGAAAGAATCTGGCGGAGACGGAATCGCGGATTCAGTAGAGAAGGAGAAGGCGCAGTAAAGTGCACAGTTTGTCGGCAGCAGCGCTCCTAATTGGTAATTTCAATTTAAACACATCTTCCTTTTAGTTTTCCAATGGGTATTCTGTGGGAGGAAATCGAAAAGATCTTCCTGAAAAGTGTATATTACGATGATCAAAAGAATTTTCTTCAGTGATGTAATTTTCTACATAAGCCACCAAATTAATTATGTACAAAGTGTTCTTGTTACGCCTGCTACCCTCTTCCATCCAAACTTCTTCTGGGGAAGGTGATGATATTAATATGAGCAAAATCTAGATAAAGATGCTAAACAGTTGCTAGTGAAAGATAAAATAGTTATATATTTTAACCGAAGCCAATGAAAACGGAGTCAAAAGTTATGAAATTATTAAATCCCGATATGATCATTCAATTCTTAATTATATGAAACGAAATGCAATAAAGATTTCTTTTTGTAAGTTTACTTTTTATTCGTGGTAACGGAGTTTTCAATGTGTACAGAAAAATTCGAGACTTACACAAAATAATTTTTGCAAAATTAGAATACTTAAAATTCGAGTGAAATTTACCAATGTGTGTTGTATATAAAATACTGGTGTGCTGGAATCCCACAGAGATTTAAAAAGACAATTAGGGTATAATGTTTTTTGAACGCCTATTACGATTGAAACTAACTATGTCCATTAAGCCCAATTAATATTTTCAAATCTACAGTGGTTTCGGAGCACGTCCAAATCATTTAGGGAGCCTTTTGTTTGTGTTTTTATGGTTTATATTCGATACCAGCTCGAATTTGATCTAAATTCAATGCGTTTCGATTTCAGTTGTGTTGTCTTCGGCTAACAAATCAGTGTCTTCAGATGTGGGTAGCATGGCAAGAGGTTTCCTGTTGCTGATGCGAATATGGATGCGGATGATGTGGCTTGAATCGGTGAATATCACGCCGAGGATGGCTCATCGGTGACCAGGGACAGGCGGCGCTTCACATCCTGCGTTGTGTTGTAGGCGCCGCACTGGACGCACTTGAGTCCGATGAAATGGAATTTGGTTTTTGAAGTCTGTGATGGAGGGGAAAGGTTAAACGAGCTTGTGGACATATGTACGTATAGTCGCACCTTGTGACAATCGTTGCAGAATATGTGCACCCGCTGATTCTCGTACTTCAGGGGCACCGGCATGCGCTCCGCCTGGTCGTCCAGGTACACCCACAGCGCCGTCATGTCGATCAGCGAGGTCTGGCAGGTGGGACAGGTGTAGTGGCCGGAGGCCAGCAGCTGGTCGAAGCACATCCTGTGGAGCAGGTGGCCGCAGTCGGGAATGTGGCAAGGTATGCGCGAGGTGTGGATGTCACCCAGGCACACGGGACAGTGGGATCGCGAGATGTTCTCCACGCACTGCAGAGAAAAGGGAATAGACAGGCAATGGGATGCCAATTAATTGGGATTTACCCATCAGCCATGCCAATCTTTGGCCCATTTCGGTGCCTGATATGTGTAAAAATGAGCTGCCAATTAACGAAGCTATTCCTTCAACGCATTTGACATTCATATTCACTCAACTGGATCGCAGATAGCCGATCACAGATCGCTACATATAGCAATTAGGCAACCGGTTTCGGTAATGAATTGACAAAAAGTTAATGTGCCAGCCAGCTGGCTGTTTCTTTGATTTGCTTTCGAATCGCGGAGGCCACCATTCCCATTTACAGGCCCAATGCAGTGCCAAATCAAGCTCCAACTCACCCGGTGGCCATCGATCTTCAGCTGGATTGGCAGGCACATGTTGCACACCTCGCAGTGGAAGAAGTTCTCGGCGCCCCCAATGCGACAAATCCCACATCCATGACAGTGGTACTGCTGCTTGTCCGCATCGTCGAAGAGGTTGCAGATCAGGCAGGTGTACTGTAAAGACATCAGCATCATATTACTAGGGTTGGATAAACAGTTTCAGTGATTTTTGAACTCCTAGATAGATATCTTACCTTGCCAAATCGCACTCCGCAGTTCACGCAACGCTCCCGCACCGTTTGCCGCGTATTGCACTCGGAGCATATTAGCTCGGTGAGCGTTTTGCGATCGAAGTGGTGCGTCTCGTTCTCGTCGTGGCAAAAGCGGCACTTGTAGAACTTGTTGCAGCAGGGGGTCTAGATGGGATGTAGATGCGAAGCAGTCAGAATCGGTGTTTGAAAAAATTCCACTTTAAATGGAGCCAAGATTGCTGCCCGCCGCCTGCTGTTGGACTACTCCCCCAGTCAAGGACTACCGAACCCATTATCTAGGGGCAATTAGCACGACTGCGCACTCCCAAATCGAGTTGCTAATTTGGGAATTCTGCCTGGAAACCGACTTAAAAACAAATGGTTGTTTAAACTGAGTAGTGACGTCTCTCTGCCAAAGGCAATAACTTAGCATTATCATAAACATTGCACTTGATACTGGCTTGAGTTTTGAATCCAAAGACGACTGTAAAGATGCCTAAGACACTCGTGTTGGTTAATTAGGTGGCTGCTAATTGGTTCCCTGTCGATATATGTAGCTCGAACTATAAACATTCGGCTATGGAAGACCTACAGAAACAGGGTTTCATGGTTATTTTGTGCCCTTTATTATCTTGTGTAATGTAGTTTCCCTCGAGTTCGGCTTAGTTACAGCCAACACCCAGATATTTATATCGCCCAGCCTCGCACACATCTATCTCCACTATCTTTGAGAATTATTTATAACTGAACAACAGTTTTTCGTATGCAAGTATTTATTTCAACTCAGCTGCGGTGATGATAACACTTGAAGTACAGAACCGGAGAGGAGTCTTCGAATCCGGTTTCTTTGTGTTTCCCCTGCTTTCACGGCTTTTTTGCCGTGCTTCACTAATGATCGCATTATAACGCGTTTGCATCTGCAATTGGCCAGCTCCAGACACCTCAAATTTATTTAGCCAGCCCGAAACAAAGCCGCACAGGCGAGTACAGTCTTCTAAGACAAATTGATACAAGATCAGCTGGAACAGACGATATCCAGGGGCATTGCTCCACTTGGGATTGCACATACTGCTCTTAGCATTGAGCTTAAGTCCACAGACATGTATACATTAATTTCACGCACTGTCGGGCGAAAATAAATATTTGAGTACAAAATAACCCACCTGATTCAACAGTTAATGGGCACCTCATTAGTGCACTAACCGCCACTTATCCGAATTTCTCGCGGTGTAGGACGTGTACACACAACAGCGAAAACATCAAAAGACTTCGGATTTTTAAAAATGTGGGACAGATTGAAGCGTGTACGGATTTACGTGACATTTTTTGGAAAGTATTTCAAAGCAATGGCTCACAAGAATGAATATTTGGGCAATTAATAATTCAAATCGCGCAATTGTAATGTTTCCGCCTGAAAGTTATTTAAACGGGTTGCTTTCCAATAACAAATAAATATGCCAAGCTGCAGGAATTGTAAATATTTCAATACGTATGTATATCGCGCCACTTTCTTTGCATTAAGTTCCATTAAGTTCGAAATCCAGCTGCAGCTAGAAATGGCTTTAGAACCATATAATAAAACTTTCCCCAGCATTGAGTTACTGTTCCCACCTTTAAACTTCTGTACTTATCACCTCTGGATAATTATGTCTGCTGGCTCCTAATTGTTAAAGTAAAGACCTGGAAATAGATTGGGTTATATGCACACACCATTTTCAGATACCCCATAATTTCTTAGCCAAAGCCGAGCGATGAAGACAATCGCATTGTTTGCCCAGATGAATGCAGAATGGAGGTGTTAACTGGCCACCGAGAATTCCTGGTCCGCGGTTCGGAATCGGAGCAGTCGGTCCAGTTAGGTTTCGGATTTGTGGCGCCACGCATTCCGGACACACGCAAGCCAAACAATTGGCGTGCAAATGGCGATGCCCTCCAATTGAATGCGAATTACACCGCACACAAAGAATCTTTGCCAAAGGTGTCTGTTTAGAGTTCAGGCACTTTATTTGGGCTGCTTGTTTAGAAACGAATAAATAATGGTTAAATGGCCATTTTCGGGAAGGCAGCAGCCTTGGATAGACACACTTCGTGAAATTAGACGACGACGAACAGCACACAAATGCCTTTCTAAGGCGCCATCATAATCTTCTTGAAAATTCCCAAATGGTTGGAAATTTTAACAGCTTCTCACTGTTTTCATAGGATCATTTCATTTCATCTGACAAACGATGAATGATTGGTAATCCGCTTTCTAATTATGCCATAGGGGTTCCAATTACACAGTTCCTTATCTGATGACCCAGAAATTGAACTGCACCCGTATCATATATAAATGTTCATAACAAAGAAGTTTCGAGTTTGGTTCCAAATTCGGGGTTTGAATAAATTCAACTTTATGCAGCTAATACTGCTACATACTCGATTCCGTCTAGTCTTTCCAAGAAATCCACCTCTAAACTTAAGAATGCTGGCAGATAATAAATTTACTTTAGTACGAAATGGTTTTTGTCTATCTGCTCGGAAAAACTGGTTATTGAAATCACAGTACATAACACTGCCTGTGGCTTTTCCTATCATGCAATGTACGGAAAAACCTCCGTAGAGCCCATAGGTGATACGCATGTATTAAGACTCCTTGTTGCACTTACCACGAACATGGCCCGCCGCTTGTAGTGAGCGCATCCGAAGCGCAATGAGTCCGCTGTGGTGGGCTGCGCACCGCTGATGTTGCTGCTGCACTTGTTGCAGTTGCTGTTGCAGCTGCCGTCGCTGCTACTGATACTGATGCGCGATGGTTGGGCATGCTGCTGCGCTAGCTGCTTCTGCTGAGCCTCCGAGGCTGCGTTACGTGAGCATGGGTGCTCGTCCTCCTCCATGGGCTCCGCCATGCCATCGCAATTGAGACTCGGTGTCGATTTGCATCTTCGCAGCTTGGCGTGCGCGGCATGATACTTGCCCGTCATCGTTGAGGGCGGCATAATCAGCTGGTGTTGCTGGTGAAGATGGGGATTGGGTTGGGGATGGGGATGGAGATGGGCATGTGGCTGCTGCGCTATCTGAGCAAGTGGAAGCGGAGCGGGCAGAGCAGCCTCCGCTGAGGTCGTCGCTGCTGTAGTCGCCAGCAGCTTTGACGATGAATTTAAATTGACTTGATTGGGCTCTTTTGTATTGGTAGCTATTTGCACATCGATGCTGCCGCTGCCGCTGTCCATGTACTTGTTGTGGTTTTCATTTAGCGATATTCGGCGCGTTCGCTGGCGGTTCTTCATTTTGCTGCAGGAGCTGTGTAACTATACGCGTATATAAGTGATTCTCCACTGTGCCTCGCCGCTGCAGTGGTCTTTGTTAATTGCTGGAGCTTCAATTGCCGCCGCGGAGCATTTAAATTACTGGCCGATGCTGTCGTCGTGCCCCATGCGCCATAGACTTTGTATCCAAGCCCCCGACGTGAGCAGCACTCGAATCTGACTGGCTGGATTCCCTTTCCACGCGATCGCAACTAACTTTCGTTTGTCCAGCTCATCCTTGTGTATTCCTATTCATGGGCTCGCTTACGTTACACACTCGGCTGAAGCGATTGAAAAGTGTGGGAAAGTGGTTAGTTTACCATTTGCAGGCAGGCCATGGCTCACACTCCGATCGATCAGATTAGGGTCTAAGCCGGGCTGTCCCCCACGATGTTGACACACAGAGCAACTACTTAGGCGGCGTATTTGCATTTCAATGCTTCCCAGTCCCCGGCTGCGAAAGGCCATCTAAACTAGATAACGACTATCTTGATTCTCACTCCGTTTTGTTGGGCGTCTCGCACTGTACACATCGTACAATGGGGCGCAAGAAACTAGCACTAAGAACGGGTTGGATTCGTACAGTAATAGCAAGTTAGTCGGACATAAAATAGTGACTGCAGCACTGAAATAGAATATCACTTATGATCTGTTTAGTTTTGGCTCAAATATGGCAACTATGTAACATGTACCCACTGCAACTAAAATTATTTATATCAAATACGAGCTCATTCGTATGAAACTGAATTTTTATCTGAATGCTACTACGCCCATGCTGAGTAGGCCCTACTATCTTGGCCGCTGCTGTCCGCGTTTGGGGCCTTGTGCCATGTGAGCGGTAGCATCTAAATCGCTTGCTTAGCCTGCAGGTCGCCAGCAGACGGAATCGCAGTGCCTTGGCACACGGTGCGGATGATCAATGAAAATGCGCGGAGGAACGCCAGTCACACTTGTTAACATAACCGGCGTGCGACTTGGCCAGACTTTCGCTCATCGGCTGCTGCTGTTGCAAGTCGGTGTGGCATGTTGCTGCGCCAAAGGAGGAACTACCAACTATGCATGTACATATATATACACAAGTATGTAAGTACATTTATGTGTTGTCACTATCGTTTCGTGGTTCCTTTTATTGGCACCGCGCCAAGCGAGCTGAATAATCGTTGCCGAATCTTGTTTGCTCAAAATGTTTTCGCATTTTTTGCGAGGGAGAGGGGGGCGACAATAAATATTGAAAGTGTGCTGAAATTACGAACGCAAGCCGATAAAAGCAGCCTCGCCGGAAAACTGAAAACCAGTCGTCGAAAAGAACGCAAGTTTGAACTCGATTCGGCGGTATTCAATGTATTCAATGCAGTATTCATGTTTACGCACGCACGCACTCACGCACACACTTGCACAAGTGCATTAAGTAATGTCACGATCTGGCTAATCGGTTTCTAAAAGTTTCCAATCCAAATCCAAACCGCCTTCGAATCGCAGTTTGGGTGTAAGTATGTAGTACATATGTGCATTCATTCATTCACCCGAATTTGCTCACATATAGCCAAATTTATACATATATGTATGTTTTTTAAACCAATTTCTTGTTTAACGTGTTTATCGGTTTTGTTTGGTTTTGGCACTTTTCGAGCTCACTGCTCATAGTGATCTTTATCAAAACGTAGCCCTTAATTATGATTTAGCCATTTGTTAATTATATTATACATATGCATGCACACTTGAAAGTAAAACAACACACACCATCCACACGAAGGAGATCGCAGCGCGGAATCGTCAATTGAATTAAAGAGCCACGACAATCTAAATCCGCGTTCCACTCACGCACCCGGATTCCGCAGACTCGTCCGGCGCGAGTTTCGACTTCCAACTGAGCGGATGGATGGCCGATGGGCCACTTGTTGCTCCCAGCCAGTGTGCCGGAGCTTTCATTCGTTCCGCAGCTTAAAGCTTTCCACGATTCGGATGCGAAGTATGGTGATTATTGCGCTTGGGTGCATAATTGTGGTAATCCCAGTGGACGTGTATCCTTATTTTCATAATCAGCAACTTTAAGTTGTATCTATCTAGTCAGCGTGGACATATTCTTAAGTATCCCGATTTCTCTATTCCACGCAGATGCATATGCTGAAATATGTACGAGTATATATCTGCTATCTTAGAAAAGTGGTTAGCATATTCCTTACATAGGCAATACATCAAGTTGCTTAAACAGCGTTATACTCGGTCCGCGCCGCTCATGAAACTCCATAAAATGGTTTATAAGCCCACCAATTATCGCAGTAAGCCTCTGGTTATAAATCACACCGTAATAGCTAAAATCTGTGACTTGTTATTATAGGCACACTTAACTTTTAGCCTATTGATCTTCATAACTCTGTAACCATGGTATGCTCCTAGTATTACTATAAGATCAAAAATTGGGTGGAAAACCTTAGGGAAAAGCCGCTTTGGCTGGTCATAAATCAAGCAGCCAAATTCACGACCAGCGATACCGGTAATTGTCTCGTGTTTTATACAGGCATATTTGTGAAGTAATACCGCCTGCGGCAGTTGCTAAAAGATTCAGAGACGAAACTTAAGGATTAATAGCGCTATATATTCTGTTTATATAGGTGTGAGTCTCTGGGCAGCATGCAGGTATTGTGGTCTTAAATCAAATCACAGCTAAATGCATGGGCAACGTAATAGCTAATTGCATTGTCTAAGTCATATCATCCCGTCCTCTTTATGGGGTAACACCGCCTACACCTTCTCGATCTGTACGAATCTCTCGCGCTGATACTGGTCATTGTAGCTGGCAACGAACTTGAGCCGGCCCTCGTACTTCAGATTCATGATGGTCTTGACCAGCGGCGGGTGTTCGTTGCCCAGTTCCAGCCAGAGCTTACCACCGGGCCGCAGGTGCCGGCAAGCCAAGTCGAAGACCAGTCGAGCCACCCTCAATCCATCGGAGCCACCGTCCAGGGCATTTAGGTTCTCGTAACTGCGAAGTACAAGATGATCAGTGCACTGTGTTCATCTGGTATAACTTCACTTACACCACCACTTCGGGATGGAGAAACTGAAACTCTTCCGTTTTCACATAGGGAGGATTGGAGATTATCAAGTCGTACTTCTTGTCCTTCAGCACCTCCGGCATGTACTTGTCCTCCTCCATGGTGTGGTTGTGTACCTCGAAACGGTTCAGCAGTCCCAGCATCTTGGCATTCTCAGCCGCCAGCACGGTGGCCGCCTTGCTACGCTCGATGGCAGTGGCCTCCACCTGCGGCAGACTGTGCAGCATAGACAAGGACATGGCGCCCGAGCCACAGCCCACTTCCAGAAGGTCAACGTGTTTTGCGTTCTTATAATTTTCGATCACCAGGCGCACAAACTCCTCCGTTTCGGGGCGTGGAATAAAGACCGATGGCGACGTCTTCAGGGTGAGGTCCATGAAGTCCCACTCGCCAATGATGTGCTGCAGCGGCATGCGGGCACATCGGGCCTCCAGGAATCGCTCGAAGTCCGCCAGCTGTCCGGGATTCAACTGCAGTTGGTCATACGAGTCCGGAACCAAATTCTTGGGGGATTAAACGTGGTTAGTCGGACTGATGGCCAGCTCTTCTAACAGATACTTACGAATTTCCGCTTCAGGACATGCGACACGATGCACTTCACGTTGAACTTCGTGTCCTCGACGCCGGCGGCCTTGAGCTTCTCCTCCCACTGCCCAATCTCCAGGGCTTTGGTCACGGGAATGTGGGTGCCAGCTGGGGCATTTGTGCCGTAGTTGACCTGCCTGAGCAGCCGCGAGGTCAGGCCCATTGACCGTGTCAGTTGTCTGAGCATATTCCACTTATTATCTAATTGCTATTGATTAACAACAAAATTTTGACGACCCACTGCCTGCAGTTCGTTCCAGCGTGACCGTTTCACGTCCGCGACGATATGCCACCAGCGGCGATTTGAAAGGTGTCACGCTTCAAGTGTTGCCGTAGTGCGGAATAGTGTGACTGAGTTCTCGAGTTCTTTGGCGGGCAATTTAAACGTGCGACATAATTATGTTGCTCTTATTAGCTAGAAAATCCCCTAGTAATTGTTCACGGTCTGATTGCAGTTGACCCTTTTTGAGTACTGTTGTCTATTAAAATACAACATGAAAGGGGTGGAGTTAAATAATAATTTGTACCTCATTATGTTTTAAACTTGTATGGAAAGTAGCTAAGCGAGTAAAGCTTTTTCTAGAATGTCACTAATATTAATGTTAAATGATTATTATAGTCCGCCAACCTACCCAAAAATTACAACTGGTCCATCGGCAATCAATGCAAATTAGAACTGGTTTTTAGCATGCAAGTATTGGCGGCGTAAAATCTAGCTAATTTATAAAAACCAGAATATAACACAATCATATAGATTATATAATCTAAGCCTGTCTACGAAATCCAAAATCAAATTCAAATTTTGAGCATCAGAACTTCTAACTAAGTGGGTTTATATGGTTTCCTGCAAAACTGCGTACTCGAGTTGCCAAGAAAATGAGGTTTGTTTGCTCAGCAATTGGTTTTATGCCCAGTCCATCTGCAGGTAAATAAAATCAATAGAACTGTTTAGTGTCAATAAGACATTTCCTGATACCTATTGAACAGCCTTGTAAATAGGGAACGACACCTGCTCACACATGGGAGTGGTCTAGGGTTTATTGATTTGCCAAGAAGTGAAAATCAAGTTGCTTGGCCGTACTAATAATTTTTGTATTTTACAACATATTAAAATATTCATATCATTACAGGTTCTATATATTGTATATATTCACATTACGATTGCACAATTATCTTCAAAACGAAAAAAACAACGGACACAATAGGTAACAAATTTTTACAAGTCTCCTTTAAGTACTGAAATCTATGGAATTTCCGTGCACTAACTATAGCTTGGGAATCATAACGTTCAGAAACGATATACGAAAAATGTACAAATAACCGAAACGACTACCATCCGTCCATCAGTCTATGCATCGATACTGCCCGCCGATTAAAGGTGTCCGTGCAAGGGATCGCGGTTGTCCCGCAAGTAGACGGGACTGGTGAACGACTTGCCCTCTACATGCGAGGCGAGATTCTCCCCGGCGTAGGTGACGAAGGGCGAGATCTCGCAGACTTCACCATGCACGATGCCACCGGCACCTTCAATATACTTCTTGTGCAGGCGATGGAGGTCCGATCGGGCAGTGCTGGGGCAATCCTTGCCAGCTGTATCGGAGTTCTTCAGGGCGCTGAACTCTTCGTCGCGTGGCACTTCCATGGCCACGAACTTCTGGGCGAACTCGAAGACGTCAAAAACAAACTTCTCTATCTTGATGCCGTTCGGCTTGTCGGGTGTTAGCCGCTTGCCGGCGTTGTCCACGAACGGAATCTTCTTCTTGGCCACGTGCAGCTTCAGCTCCTGCTCGAATGTGCTGCCAATCTTCTGCAGAAAGTTCGAGCTGAAGAAGTGGTTGCAGATATTTCCAGCACTGAACGTCAGCCTGCCGTCCGAATTGCGCATCTCGGCAGTTTTGGCAGAGATTTCGCTGTACTCCACCACCTGATATTTGCCATCGACAATGGCCACCACGCCCACAGCTTCGTTGGGAGCCGCCTTCTCTACGACCTTAGCGGCGCAGTCAGCCTTCTCCTGCACGCAGTAGCCGATGAAAACGGGATCGGCCACCTTGATCAGGATATTGTCCACGCTGTGGGCGTGCAGATATAATACACCCCGCTTCTGCATGTCGTCCAGTATTCCTTGGCGCTTCATAGCCCGATAGATGCCCCCGTTGCCGTCCGGTGCGCGCGCCACCCGGTGCTTCTCGTCCAGAATGATGCGTCCATCGTATTCAAAGCACGGCAGTGATCCCTGCTCGAACAGCAGCACGTTCTCCGCCTTCAGGCCAAAGAAGTTGTTGGCCACAAAGTAGTCGTATGTGGGTTGCACCGTGTGCTCCGACGTCATTATGTACCAAGTGATGTGGCCATGCTTGCCAGTCGCCTCCTGGGCGAGCTCCTCAAGCTTCAGGATCCGCTCGGCCTGAATGCGAAACAGCGTCTTCCGGGACTGCAGTCCCACATCGTACATTCCCTTGGGATGATCGAAACCAAGTCGTGTGCCTGCAAAAGGAGAGGGCCAGTTATAAGTGGTGTGGAAAGCTCATGCATTACTAAGGCTTCCAATGAAGTTCTCCAATATGATAATTATTTTACGGTATATATAGCAATTCCTGAATGTATTAATCACCCTTTAACAACAAGAACTGCTGCATTTTTATATCTCACCCGGCTGACCTTAAAAACAAGTTTATTTTTCGAACATCGGTTCGCTCTTAACGTTGTCTTTTGTCTGCGCCTTTTTAACATATATAAGCGGCTTGTTTAAGGTCAGTTCCACTACCGGTTTTAAAATGCTCGACTACACTTAATCTATGGCTTATCGGTACGGCAAACTGAACATCCACTCCTGACGTCTCATAAAAATTCTCAGAACTCCAATCGTTATCTGGGTCCACCATTTGTGAAAATTCTTCAATTCGAACGTGCAAGAAATAATGTTTCCATTGCCCTGCCCCAACTGCAAACAACTCCGTTTTCTTGGTCTCTCAAATGACAATTACGTGATTGGACTCCATCGTTTGCTCGAGAAACTGGTAAGGAAATGTCAAATGCCGCCCACATTTCAATGTTTCGAGTCGAAAGAGCACTGGCCCCAGCAATAATCAAATGAGAAAGGCAAGTCTGGCTTTAAGAATGGCTTCAAATTGTTGCTGGCCTGGCGTGTTTTAAGTTTTACACGCTTTTTGTCTTGCAAACGGAATTACAATTGCAATTACAATGCCCATGCAGCTGCATGAGTGGGCAGCTGATTGAGATTGCGTGTATTTGTGAGCGCTATGGAGCACTTTTATATCAAGTTAATTAGCTTTTATAAAGCACACACACTCTGCTAATGATGAAGTTGTTGTTTTAGTTCAGTTTACACCATGTTCACTGCTCGTAAACGCGCAATTTTTGGTGGGTGGCTGATTGGGGGCATGATAAAAATATCTCAACTTGTTTGGTATCCGAGGAAGTATCTTTCATAGAAGATACAAGCAACTGTGCTCTGAAAGATTCGCTATCAGTGCGGCAGAATAAAAAATTGTTTACTTGTAGTAACTGATTTGTGTACTATGATTTCAGTGCTGAGTGTATTCTTAAAATGATTCAAAACTTCATTTTTCTTCTAATAATAAATATCGTCTAATATCAAAACAAAACTCATTCGTTTCCGAATGATTCGTTTTCGCTATCAATGATTGAAGAGCCAAACCCATTGTTATCTCAAGTATACATATATACATATGTACATAAATGTCATTTAACATTACCAACTGGACCCACCGAGGTCTGTCCCACTTCAGGTGCTTTAAATGGCTCCATAAAAACCCTATTGACTAAAATATGCTGCCAACTAAACACAGGTGCGCTAATTCCCCAGTTATCTGGATATTCTGTTTTCGGTTAACTCCCTATTAACTCCCTTAGGGAACTCCAGCTCACCTTGTCCGCCTGCCATTAGCAACACAGCGACATGTCCGTTGCTGATCTGGAGGAGACCCTCATCCCGGTAGGCGGCCAACTTCTCCAGCGGCGCCCTAGCAATGGAGATCAGCTTGCCCTCGGGCAGCGGCTGCAGGCGATCGTCCAGCTTGATGCCATTCTCGTTCATTGAGACCGTGGCCCGGTCGAAGTACAGCTTGATCTCGTCCAGATTCAGCTCCTCGATGTCCCGCACCAGGTCGATGCGTTCGTCATTCGATAGCTCCGGCCAGAACTTGAGCAGGTGCTCCTGGCCCACCTGGGCGAGTCGCGAGTGCAGCGACAGGTAGTCCGTCATTGTTGGCAAAGGTTTGGCTGCTTTTGCGGATTTTGCTGTGGTGCCGCCAGCTGCAAGAACCAAGAGACCAGATATAAGCTACTTGTATCGAAAAAGATTCGTACGCATGATCAATGTGAATTTGATTAACAGATATTATCAAATTGACTATCAAACGTACTTAATGTAGCAAATTAAAAACAATATAGATAAGATATTGTTACGGGCAATCCTACTTAATACGTGGTATTCTTCACCGAGTTAGTGCATCAATTGGCACTTATTTAATGCGAAACACAGTTAAAAATAAGATGATAACTTTGAAGATCACATTGAAACCATATATTAACTGCTGCTGTCTGTTTATTGATTCAGCTAATGGAACGGGCTCTCCGGAAGGTGTATATTTACTTTTCTCTCCGCTGGCTGACTAATTATTTGGCGAATGCGATAAAAAGACAGTGGTCGGGTTGTCCGAGCTTCGTTGCGGTCCGTTATACGTGGTAACCAAAGCGCAACTGAGCGCCAAGCGATCGCCCTCAGTGGTTTTTCTTGCTCGAAGTGGAGCCGTCACTCCGCCAGCGCCACCGCCACCGCCACCACCATCGCCATCGGCATCGCCTTCGCCTCCAACTGGCTGTGTCTGTGGGACCGCCTGAATATCTGAATGGCAGTAGCTCGTGTGCAGGTTATATTGGTATCTGGTATTTGGGCGCGAATGTGTGCGAACGTGTGTCTCTTAACGTATTTGCAGCCGCGTTTTAACATGGCCATGCCAGTTGTTTGGCTATACCCTGTAAAAACTTGATGGGCAGGTCGCGATCATGTTGAAGAATGGGCCCCCCATCAACCATGGTCCCTTTGGTAGTAGGTGCTACACAATCTTGATCTAACATTATAAACTCCATCTTTAGGGCTTTGGGTCCTGTTTTACAGCGGAAGAGGAGCATAGAGAATCCGCTTTTAGATATACTGGTAATATATGGTAATATTTGCTTCGTATTCATATGTAACAAATTTATATATGAATACATCTGTTAAGTGATCTTAATGACCACAACCTTGTTGTAATTAAAGTTGAGTACGAATAATTATCAACTGGCTATTCCCTATTTCGGTTAAAAAACACCTAGAAATAACATGTAACATTCAAGAGAGGGTATCAACTGGTCGAGGGTATTTATTACACGGCTTTGTTGTTAGCGATACGGCTACTGGAGCTGCAGCAATCCCAATCGGATTTTCGCTGCTGGGCCAATTTGCCAAGCAGCGTGTTGCAAATGCAAAGCGAAATATCAGAAACCGAAATCGAATTCGAAACCAAATGGCCCTGAACACGGGCTTTAGTTTTAGTGAAAGTAAGAGGTGCCACAGTCCAAGCAACGCCAGCCACAAGGAAACACCTAAGGGCGACACATATCTGCAGTTCATATAGTTCAGTTCCTGATCAACGGGTTACAAACTAGTTGGGTGGGCTATCGGGAGTTGTGGGAAAGGTTATGGCATAAAGGCGAGCCAAGAACTGACGAAAACATGGCAAGACAAAGTCGGTGCTGGCCGGTTTATTCGGTTTTAATACCCATTAATTTACCTGCAGTGGTGTATATAATATATTATGGCATAGAAATGCTAAAGAAAGATTAATATTTATGATCTGCACTATCAGACCTGGTTTTACTATTCAAGCCTATAAAAGCTTGAAAATTGGGCTAAAATCCTAACAAAAAATAGCTCAATTTTTTTAAATAGATGACTCCAACGGGTTTAAAATGGTAATTTGAGGCGATATGGTATTACAAGTATAATAAATTGTAATTACTCAAGACATGATTTGTAATTTGGAAACATGTATGCACATATGTAACATTTTGAAAGGGTTATACTCCACAAAACTCAGAAAGTTATTTACAAACGATTTACGAAAATGTTTCATGTAGGCAGTGATTAGAGGGTATTCTACACTCGCTACAGCGATTCATATTGTTGTTTTTGCCACGAAGCAAAACACTTGTCTGAATGTGTGCGTGCGCATAAAAAACAGAAAAAGCTGCAGCAACAAAAACACTCCACACACACAAGCTCCCAAAAACGAAACGAAACAGCGATAGCAAATAAGTTGTTTACATACACCCGCTGCAGTGTGTGTGTGTGATTGTGGGCTTTCCGCTTTTTTGTTATCGCAGCTCTTGGCTCCAACTATTGCTCTACCATTATCAGTTGACGTTTTCGAGTGGGGTTTGTACCAACTAACCATTGCGGTGGCGCCTCACATGAGTCTGCTGGTGCTGCGTACTGAAGTTGTTGCGACCCATTTTGGCAGGGAGCACCCTGTGCAACTCTGGCTCTGGCTCCACTCCACTCGGTGCGAATTGTACTTGCAGTGACTGTGCCTTGTCCGCCGTGGATTCTATGGCATCGTGCTAGTCCTGACGTGGTTTAATTCACACCCCGTGCGGCCGTTAGGTACATAGGCAAACGGAAAATGCACAATCCGAACGCAAACACCGTGTATTTCTTTTGGCCCCAAAAACTGGGCGGAGAATCGATATCGATTACAAGCGGAGCCATCAGGGCGACAGTGTGACCGCTGTGCACTACGGTGGGAGGCTCTGAAAAAATACTAAGTACATAGCTGCATATGCAGTTAAATTCGAAAAATATATCTAAATACAATTTTTTTATTTTTACCACCATCATATAATCATTTTAATCTATTTCATAGTGTGATCTTTAACTCACCATTTGTTAAAATTACAACAGTGAATGTACATATTTAAAACGTATTAATCTGTTCATTTAAATGGGTTATAATAATATTTACACTTTATTTATAGTTTCGTTCTTTAAAGTTATGTTCGGTAAAACCACTGAAGTACTTAACTCGTAATCTTCGCTTATGCGCGTATCATGAATATGAAATAATCATTCGAAAATGTTTGCTTAAAAAAGATAGTAAAATAACACAAACTCTGCATTTAAAAACTTATTTAAAAATGAGTAATAGGCAGTGATGGGTTTCTTCATACGACCAACACGACTACAATTGCTGTATATTTATGTTTTTAGCAGTCATAAAGTGAAAAACAACATTATTTTTTGAGTTTTAAATATATTTACAGTTATTAACTAAATAAAGCATCATTTTCAATTACATGTAAGGACTACAACAGAAAGTATGCATCTATGTAAAGGCTCTAGTATTATCATATTGCCTGGAAGGTATTTGTTTATGCTGATCTCATATTACTTCACTGCTCCTAGTAGCATGGCCGGCGGTGTGCGCAGCAAGCAAGCGTAAGTCTACAGGACACTACGAAACACACGAATGGTAATTACAAAATGGGAACACTGATGGGGTACGTACTTGATGTAGAATCATACAAAACATGGGCGTAAATCATTAGATCATTCGTTTAAATATCAAAAATTCATTAATGTTTGCACAGAATCACTGTCTAGGCCATCGAAGACGTGGTTGGTACATCGTCCAGGTTGATAAGTGTCGCCTCGCCTCCGGTTGAGGATTCAGCACCTTGACCCGGAATATTCCCTTCCTTGGGCGGTGGCGCCGGCATTGGTATTGCGATCGGGCTCATGGTGCTGATCATGCGCGGCTCCGCCCGCGACGTTGTAATGGGCAGCTGGCTGGAGCTGCTGGTGGGCTTTAGGAAGTCGGGCTGCGGCATCTGAGCGGGACCGGGGCCATGACTGTGTCCCGCCCTATGGCTATGACTATGACCCGCTCCATGGCTGTGACTGTGCCCACCGCCGTGACTGTGATGCTTTTGCTGCTGGTGCGGCGCATGCTGGTGATGATGTTGCATCTGCTGCTGCTGCGGGAACGATTTGGGCAGCTGGGCGTGGCGGCTGGAGTCCGTGGCCTTTAGGCGCTCACTTAGCGCCTTTAAGGCAATTTGTCTGAAATTGAAGAAATGTATTCATAATGTATACATAATAACAAACTAATTATTCAAGTTAATGCAAGTACCCTTATCTAATGAACAATTATTAGCCTGTTGTGATTAAATGGTTAGTGGCTCTTTAGATAAGCGTACTTACATTGATATCAAGACAATCAAGTTAAACCCCAAAATACGACTAAGTAAACATAACATTTACCCCATGATATCTAACTTACCGCCTTCTTTCAATGTCATGCGGATCCACTCCCGGCATTTGCACCGATACCGACGTCAGGCTGGCCGTAGATATCGTCCGCAGCGGCGTGGGCGTCTTGACCACGCCCGCTCGCAAACAGCAGTTGTAAATGGGATTAACCAATGCGCTTATAAAGGGCTGCGTTACGTTTGGGAAGAAGCTGACGAAAGTGAAGCTCTCCGAGCTGTCGCCACGCCCATTGGGATGGTGTTGGTAAAAGCGAAGATAAATCCAGGATACCAGCGATCCGGAGGCAAACATAGCCGGATAAGTGCCATCTAGTAGCCCTATGGCCCACAAGATGATGGCCATGATGAGGACAGTGAGGGGAACGTTCCTGAGTAGTAAAGAGTACAATTTTATATTTAAGTGCCAGTTATGATTCAGAATTTCATTTAAGAAGAACAATATAGAATCTCTACAATGATGTGTTTCTAATTATTTGAAAGTATAATTTCAAACAATTCACGGCAGTATTTACTTGTGCGTCAGTGATCCAAAAATTTATTGAACTTTGACCCAACGCTAAAAGGTTGATAAACTGCCAACTTATATTCAATTTATTGAGCTTGTAGCCATTTAAATCGAGATATAGAAGGGACACCCTAAGAAAATGTATGCCTCCTTAAATCCGTCAATGCATCATTTTCGATTCAAAGACATATTTGGAAATAATCAAAGAATTTCTAAAACTGTTTTAACTTTCTAAAGTAAGCCCTTAGCTACAGCAAAACTCTAAAATGGCAACATATCAGCAACTATCTCACCTATTGGTCAAACGTCCGTAGCGCGTCTTGAAGATCAGGTGATCGGGCATTATCTGGCGCACGGCTACGCAGATGCCGGCCACGTATCCGGCCAGGCCGTGGATGTGGACCTCGAAGAGAATGGTTGGGTTTTTGGTGACCATGTAGTAAAACAGGTAGTAGACAGTGGTCAGCAGCGAGACGCCGAAGTTGCTCAGGGCGAAGAACTTGAACATCTCCAGCTGACCCCAGAGGGGCTCCAGCATCTTGCCGCACAGGCCCACGGTGACTACGTCGACGGCCACCTCCCACCAGTGCAGCTCGATGAAGCAGAACGTGAAGGCGGTCCATATCCAAAACTTGCCGTTGGGCAGGATGTATCCGGGTGTGACGCTGAGCAGCAGGATGGCCGTCTCCGAGAAGGACAACAGGTAGCCGAAAGTGGTCACCACGCAGATGAGGGTGATGACCGGCGAGGTGTTGTGCAGCAGGGCGTTCAGCTGCTGCCAGATGTACGGCCAGTTTCTGGCCAGTTGAGCTGACATGGCACCGATCGCTTCTCCTGGAGTTCGCACGCGTTTTTGGGTGGCCTCGCAGCTCCTGGTCGGCGGACTGGAACCAGGAGGACTTAAATGCTCTGCGGTGCTTGTCTGCCTCGCAACTCAACACGTTCGAGGGGCGTAGAAGTGGTTCATTTGCTAATATTTACGATTTTGCTTCACAATTACAATAACAAGACTGTCATCGATGTGGGGAGGCGTATCTATCGTTTATCGATTGTTTTGATACAGCATGACCAGACAATAAGCCAAGATAAATCCTTTGAATCGTTTTGGCTAGGCCACACTAGCAAGGAAATAGGGTAAGCAATTAAAAATGTACTTTTAAATTTTAGGCGCCATTTCCAAAGCTGAGCTTAAAAATTTTATTTGTAAAGAAATCTGCTATAGTGTGAGAATAACTTTGCTGCGTTTTTCCCAAGATCCCATCACAATAGAACTCAACGAAATCGTTTAAAAAAGTTATCTAATTTACGTTTTATTATGACAATTTGTATGTATGTGTTCGTTTGATGTACATCTTTGCTTTAATAATTTCAATGTCTCCATATCATGCTGTATTTAAAGTATAATTCAATTGATTTAATATTAAAACAAGTAATTGCATTGGAATTCAATTAATTCGCAGAAATATTGAACTCAAGCAATGTAGTCTCACATTTGAATACAACTAAAAACTATTCAAAATAAAGGTTCTCATCCGCTTTATGTACGCTTCTATTGGTTGGGAAGATGAAAATAGCAGCCAAAGGCCTTACAATTTACGCTTACTGTGGGTGTTTGACAGAATACGAAAAAAACAAAGCAGGTAATTAAGTTTGTTTTAATGGGAGCGAGCGTGTGGGAAGTATGATGAAGTATTAGTTGCTGTTGATTGGATCGCAGATGATCTTTTAGGCTGCTTAGAACAGCAGCGTGCCCATGCCGCCCATCTCGGACTGCTCCTTAACGAAAATCTCAAAGTATTGGTAGATGATGGTCACCGCCAACAGGATACCCGTACCAGAGCCGATGGCTCCCAGGAAGTCGGCCATCACAGACAGAGCTCCGATGCAGAGACCACCAAAAGCAGCTGCCGTTGGGATGTAGCGGTTGAGCTCGTGGATCATCGAGTTCTCGCGATGGCCACGCATCACCATGTGTTGCTCTTTCAGCTGCTTGGCAACCTGCAAGAAGGGAAGTCAAAAAGGATCGGTAAGTTTATGCTGATTGAGGTTTACTACACCGGTACTTACATCCTTGGCTGAGCTGCCGGACACATCGATCCAGGTCTTGGAGAAGAAAGCGCAGGAGCCCAACATGAACACAATGTAGAGCAACGCGTGAATGGGGTCGGTCAGGATGTGGCCCACGCTCTCAGGGGGCGAAAGATAGTAGCACAGACCACCGATGGGATAGGAGCGGGCCGGGCCGCCGCCTCCAACATCAGCCCACACACCCAAAAGGTTAATGAAGAAGTTGCCCTGGAACTTGACAGCCAGCATCTGGGAGATGACGTACAAGTTGGACACGAGCGCAGACTGCAGGATGATGGGAATGTTGGAGGTGTAGAACAGCTTGATGGGGTAGCTGCTGTACTGGCCGCGGTAACGGGCGCTCTTGATGGGTAGGTCCACGCGGAAGCCTTGGAAGTATATGACCACGGCGAACACCAGCACGGTGGCCAGCAGGTTCATCAGGTTGGGCAGGTTCTGGCGATAGAAGGCCTCACGCAGAGCGCGCACCTTATCGTTCCTGGTGGCCATCAAGTGGAACAGGGCAATTACAGCGCCCTCGAACTCGGTGCCGCGTCCCGTGGTCACGGTGGTGGGGCTGAACGCCTTCCACACGATCGTCTCGCAAATGTTGGTGGCAATGAAAAGGGAAATACCCGATCCCAGTCCATAGCCCTTCTGGAGGAGCTCGTCGAGCAGCAGCACAATCAGACCAGCGGCGAACAGCTGGATGATGATCAGCAAGCAGACACCGGCTCCAATCTCCGACGGATCGCCGTACATGCCAGTCATCACATAGACGATGGCCTGGCCAATGGTGATCACCATGCCGAAAAGTTTCTGAGCGCCGTTGAACAGAGCACGATCCTTGGGCGTATCACCGACCTCAATGATCTTTGCTCCGGCCAGCAGCTGCATGATCAGGCCAGAGGTCACAATGGGCGAGATACCCAGCTCCATGAGCGTTCCACGGTTGGAGGCCAGGATCACACGGATCCAGTAGAAGGGATCCGCCGAGTCTGAGCTCATAATACCGAAAAGCGGGATCTGGCAGCATACCAGGAAAATGAACAGCGTGATCGCAGTCCATAGAACTTTCTCCCTGAATTGGATCTGAAAACGAAAAGAGCCAACAATTGCAAATGAGTCATATTGCGGTGTAAGGGATAAAATGAGTATTTATGTTAATTACAATGTATAATAGCAATGGAAGCTTAAAACAAAGCAGATGATTACACTATTACTATTTTATTTTACATACACGGCCTGAGCTCAAGAGCCTTTTACTCTTGAAACTGTTGAAACCCTAGGCTGTACAAATAAGACTACCGTTACGTTGACCTACAAGGCTGCCCTCCCATGTGTGTACGTGTGTGAATTGTTTAAACAAAATCAGGTAAGCTTCATTTTACCGTAGTCGTCAGCGCTTGTTACCCGCGAGCAACAAAAACAAACGAAGCTGACGTCGACAGTGCTTCGGCGGTGCGCTTCGAGCGAGCCGAAGTTTGACATTTCCACGTAGCGTTTATTTGTCAGCGAGCGAGTAGTGTGCGTTTGTGTGTGTGTGTAAAATAGAAGTATGGCAACAAGTAGCCAGGTGATAAGAAAAGTAGCAGCAGCAATGAGGTGGAAATAAGGACATTTATGAATGAAAACGCCTAGGAATCATATAAAAACTTAAAAATATGTGCACTTCATGTGGTGTACGACTAAATAAATAATTAAATCAGGGCTGAACCCTTGAATTGGATATATATTTTGACTAAATAAATGGACACAAAAGGCACAACTGAAAGAAACTGAGTGCTTAAATGTGTATATTTCTATTTCGTCACATAAAAGTCTCAGTTTGTTTCATATCAGGGTGGTTTTGCTGCCGCTTGCCTGCTACTAAATGAAGAGCAAACTGTTTGCGTGGCGATGTTCAATTTTTTGACAAGTGAAAGCAACCACAAAACGCGTGCGCTGGCAACACTGGCAGAGAGCAAGGCGAGATTAGCTCGGTAAAACACACGTAAAAGCAGAGAAAAAGCCGCTAATTGTTGGGAAAATTCGAACTTTACATGGCACAGCACAAATTGGGGCAATAATCTGGCCTTTGATTACATCTAATTACGGTTTTATACACACCTTGCGCTCCGGTTTTGCGATTTCCGGCAGTATACTGCAGAACGGTTTGATAACTTCCAGGAACTTGACTGCAAATAGTGAATTAAGGCAGCCGAATTAGTTGCGTCAGGGTATTTTCAATTAATTGCGATTTTTGGACACAACGAGCGCCGCACGCCGAATCTTTTTTGTATACGTAAGCAATGAGCAACGGGGGTGCGAGCGGCATTGCAAGGGCGGCACTTCACACAAAAACCGCTGCACTCCCCGATTTTGGGGAAGATGTCTGACGATGACGGTTACTTACTTCCCATTTTGCCGGACTTGTGTAGCTAGCCTGGGAACTGTGTGGGTGGCTTGGTTATTGCACTTTCTACACGAACAGTAGAAGGTCTCACTTCTCACGGCACAGCGAACGCCTCAAATTTCAAAAACCGAATGAACGATGCGAACGAATAGACGACGTCGACGTGTCACTCAGTGTGACCGTTGGCGAAACGTCAAAATACACCGCCCTGTCACTTTGCGCTGAACGGTCACACTAATTCTGTTAAGCATTAACATTTGGAGTCGAACGATGGAAAATCTTTATTTGCGGGCAATGTATTGTTAAGCGGCTATTAGGAGCTGCGATTAGGAGTTACACATAAATAAAAACAGCAGCAACAGGATTTAGGATTCAACTTATTAAGAGACCATGCTTATAGTTTCTTTTATCTAAGCTAGGCTATCATATTTTATTGTTTTGTAATGTTAGTTACTTGTATATGTATATTATTGTATATTATAATGTGTTCACTGCGCTTTGGCTTTAGAGGGTTAAAAAACAAAGGCATCGATATTAGATGGCGATAGTCGTGAGGCCATCGCTGGCACCGGCTGACACCTAGTGAACGATATTATCGGCAGAGCAAGCGATGTTTTGGCAGCTATAAAACTCTCCAATTTGACAATTGTGAGGCATGAATACAAACAAACACTCACGCAGTGCATTCAGTAGGCGAGCGTAATAAATATGTGGGAGAATTCCCACATATATATAGTATTCAGTGCCAGTGCCGAGAACTCGGACCGAAAACGGACGCGTCGTGCACATATGCGTGAAAAACTAGCTGGCAACAACGGTGGCGAGTCCAAATGCGAAGAAAAGCCAGTAAATCGCGCGGCGAGTAAAGTGAATAAATTCGGTGCGGACCATTGCCGTTTCGGGGCGAATAATGTCTGCGTCTGTGATATGTGTTGACTTGAGCTCGGAGTCTGATGAAGAGGTAATATCCCGATTTCCCAGCGGACTCGCATGTGTTTGTGTGTGTGAAAAAGTACAGTTGGATTTAAATAGGCTCGGTGCATGAGTGTGAGTGCGTGTTACACATAGTGTGGAATTAATTTTTTTTCGCGCTGCTTTTTTATTGAGAGCGAGCAGACACGAACGTGCAGAACAACACTCACACAGTTGCAAAGTGTAACAGTGCTGCCAGACTGTGCGATTGGAGACCTGGCGAGTCTTGCAATTGCAGTGGCGAATATCGGACTTTAATTACGTTAGGCGTGGAAAAGAGCGAGTAAGGGTGCGGTGAGTCTCCGTTCCTGGAGAGTATTTGGTTAAGACGCAATTCGCCTGGTAAAGTTCGGAAAGTCGTCTCTGCTGATACGGCACTAAATCAAATCAACTCTCCACAGCGCGCGCTCGCAACTCTCCAAAGCTCTCGCGTACACCGACGAGCGCATACCCATACACTGACGTCTTTCGTTTGTTTATATTTTCATTCAAATTTAAAATGCACCAGAGAGCCAACAGGTCGCCTGCAGTTTGGAATTAAAATAAATGCTGCTCATTATAAAGCGCACTTAAAAGTGCCCATGCAGTGCCACTGTGCTCTCTGTGCTCTTCTTATCCATTGAACATGAATTGAATTTTAATTGCAAATTATATTTGCAGTCGCCAGCGAAACGACGACTCGAGGATCCTTTGGGACTACTAACGCCATCCCGTAGGCAAAGTTTGCCTGCCAAACTTCTGAACATACCAAAGGCCTCCCTGGAATCCCCGATGGGAGTGCCACTTGCAGGAACAGGAGCAAGGGCGACTCCGGTCATAGCGGATCCACTTCGATCCATGCACATCCCCAGTGGAATCACCGTTACTAAGCACCAGAAGAACGTCCTCACCACAAACGGAAACCTGACCATCTCCCTGGCAGAGAACAACAACAACACCACCAGCTTCAACAACAATGTGACCCCGAAGCAGATCAAGATTGGCACCGGCCAGAGAGTGGCCTGGTCGGTGAGCAACAAGGCGCCCAGTCCGAATGCCGTGATAACCTCCGTGCCCAGCCACCAGGTGAGGGTGACGCCGTGTAACCAGATACGGCTCGCACCCGGGTCAAAAATCATCCCGGTGTCAAAAGCAACGCCTGCAAAGATTCAACCCGTTCTTGGGATAGGTCAGCCTCAACAACAGCCACAAGCCCAGCAACCGAAGGCCATAATACTGGGTGTTACGAAGCCCAAAACTGTAGTAGGTCAAATGGCGCCGCAGCAGCAGCAGAAGGCGCTATCACTCCAGGTCCATCAGAAATTAGTTTCAGGACAGCAGCAACATATAACTTCCCTGAGTCAATTGCAACTTAGACCGGTGGGTATTCAGCTTCAGCAGCAACAGAAGCCACTGGCTGGCCAAGCGCCTACGCAGCAAAAACCACTGGCAGCACAACTGCTAACGCAGCAAAAACCACTGGGAGGACAACTGCTAACGCCGCAAAAACCACCACCTGTGGGATCGCTACAACAGCCTGTTAAACAGAATACGGCGATTGGAGTACAGATTCAGCAAATACCAAAGGTTTTCGTGGGACAACAGCAGCAGAAGGTGTTCCTTGGGCAGCTGCAACAGCAGCAACAGAATACGTTCCTGGGGCAACTACAGCAGGAGCAACAGAAGACGTTCGTGGGTCAACTGCAACAGGAGCAACAGAAATTATTCCTGGGGCAACTACAAAAACAGCAGCAGCAACTCCAACAGAAGATCGTCGGGCAATCACAACAGCCAAAATTTCCTTCGGGGCAACTACAACCACAGCACAAACCACCACAGCTGAAGAATTCACTGGTGCAACTAAAACAGCAACAGCCATCACCACAGCAACAGAAAACTTCAGTAAGCCAACAACAACAACAGCAACCCCACCAGAAGAATTCACTGGTGCAACTTCAACAGCAATTACAACTGCAACAGAAAACTTCAGTAAGCCAACAGCAACAGAAGACATCAGTGGATCAACTCCAGCAACAGCAGCAGCAGCAGAAATTACTGCAAAAGAATTCACTGGTGCAACTACAAATGCAATTACAGCTGCAACAGAAAACTGCAGCAAGCCAACAGCAACAGAAAACATCAATGGGCCAACTCCAGCAACAGCAGCAGCAGAAACCACAGCAGAAGAATTCACAAGTGCAACTACAACAGCAACCACAACAGCAACAGAAGACTTCAGCGGGGCAACTGCAGCAGCAGTCTCAACAGCAACAGAAGACTTCAGCGGGGCAACTCCCACAGCAACAGAAGACTTCAGCGGGGCAACTTCAACAGCAGCAAATTACACCAAAAGGGGCCGTAGGGCAAAAGGCAACACCCCAAAAGCTACTAGTGGCCCCAGGGCAACAGCATAAGTTACCTGTCGAACAAGGCCAGTCGCAGCAGAGAACAAATGTAGGACTACTTCAACAGCAACAGGTGTCACAGAAGAAAATCGTGGGGCCTATACAACACCAAATTAAGAATCCTTTGGCCCAACCGCAGCTTCCAAAAACATCGGTGGTCCTGCCGCGGCAACAACCTCTCCCGCAAAGTCCCTTGCTGGTGGCCCAACAGCAATCACCAAAGACACAAATGGCTATACAATTGCTAAACTCTGTGATGGGCACACAGTTTCCGCCGCAGCAACCTTCGCTACCCGTTGTCAATCAAATCACACACAAATCGATGACAATTCAGAGACTTCCCATGTTGCAGGCACCGCTAACGGGGCAAAAAATTCAGCCAAAAATGATAACTTCGCAGCAGACGCCACCACCCGCTCACATAGTACAAAAGCAAACAATGCCAAACGCGGCAATGAACAATCCTCCGGTTGCACATCGTCCACCGATAGTGAGGCCCATGACTGTAGCCAAGATCACGCCTGTGCCTACAAACAGCAAAGTCTGCTTCCCAATGAAGCCGCAGGTGGCTAGAGCTGACAGTCCCACATCCCCAACTATGACTGCAGCTCGTACTTTGCCCTTTAGAAGCTCGCAGCATAAGGCATCCAAATCACCAATGACTTCGACGCATGCCCAGGGATTCACAGCGAGTGCCACTCTTCCGCAGCGCCTTCTGGCCACTCCACCGCTTTGTGCCGCGGCTTTAAATGAGCCGCTGTTGTTAAACTTGCCGCCCACCACTAGCATTACGCCGCAACTAACGCCTACAACAACTCCACCGCCCGCTGGACCGTCGACTGGGGTTCAGCAACAGCAGCTTGCCAAGGCGGCAGCCTTTAAATTGAATTCCTTGCCCGGAGCGAGCATATCTCCAGTGAACAGGACTCCAACTGCAAGCGTCAAACGCATCCAGCCCATTACCGTGCTCAAGAAATCCGACGAGGAATGGCGAAGGCATCTCGAGCAGCAAAAGCAGCGCGCGCCATTGCAGTCCTCCTCGACGCCAACAATTGTCGTAGTCGAATCACCGCCCACTACGCCGCCCACGGACAAGTCCGAGACGGAGCGTAGGCCAATAACCGTGGAAAAAACGTCGATCAACCCGATTCCAACAGATAGAAAACCCAGTACATTGAAAAGACCTGCAGTGGTAATTCCCTCCCCAAAAAAATCAATTGGTTTTGTCACAGAAATAGTGGATTTAGATGAAATACCAGAGACCCCGCCAGAGAAGCGAAGGAAAGAATGTTATACTCCCACTAAGAATGCAAACGAGGCACCACTAACAAATGCCCCTTTTACAACTGAGTACGCGGCACTTTTGAGGCTGTGCCGCGAGGTGGACAATTCGGATGACATGGAGAGACTGGTAAGGGGGAAGTTGACCCAGTATTATTACAGTGCGCCCGAAAGTTTCGTGATGTCATGTGGCTTTCGTAAGCTGGTCACAGTGGCCATAGCGAGCATCAAAAACGAGTCGGACCTGGTGTACGTACACCTAGAGTACGTGGTTAATGAGCTAGCAGCGCGGAGGGTGCCCAAAATATTTCCCACAGTACGGGTTACGCCGCCAGTTAGCCAGTTCCCACTTCCAATATCATTCACACCCAAGCAGCCGGAGATGCTAAAGGCGCTGGAGCGGACTGGCATAGTGGGAAAAGAGCAGGACGATGATGTAGAGGAGGTGACAGTAGTGCATTTCGAGCCCGTTTCTCGCGAAGATAAAAGGAGGGATGAGCGCATACGCCACTTGAACCGCACGCTGCATGCTATTACTAAGCGAATCAAGATGTTGGAGGAAGCCGAAGTGGATTTTAACGACGAGGACTCCAGCTATCTTCAGGTAGAGCGCTTCAAAAAGCGCGCCTGCCAAATCTATGAGAAAATCTGTGATCTAACCGGCGAGAGCAAGAGGGTTCGTCGTCAGCTAAAGAAGCCCATCCAATTCAAGGATACGGACTATCCACACTTCAACCGCAAGCTCTCGGCCTTTGTCAACAAGATGCACGAGTTTCCCGATTACCACGATGTGATACAAATTCTGGAACATTGCAACAATGAAAAAGAACTTGGACTAGCCAAGTTCGAGATGAAGAAAATCGGTATGCCGTGGACTTCAACTATCAAAAATATTATTGAACACACACTATTATTTTGCAGCCCACGATGCCTTTTACAAAGTCGGTCAAATGTTGCAGTCACGCCGAAAAAATGATCTTTACGAAACTGTCACACATTTCACGGCAAATGGAAAAGATCCAGCGTCCAGTGATCCTGAGCTGCTGGCCAAGCTGAAGGAAAACAACAAAAAGCAAACCAAAATAAGTGATGTCTTAGAAAAGTGAGCACAAATCAAAGATTTCAGAAGTGCGCTGTTCAATATTTGTATGATTATATGTCGTTAGCGTCGAGAACAGCAGCACTGACTGAATTTAGAACTCAAACTACTGTTTCAATCTTATACTTAAATTCATTATTTTAGGTTTGCCCTCGAGCAGGATCTCAATGCGGAGGAGCGGCAGGAGGCGCGGCTCAAGGAGAAAAAGTTGAAGCAAGTAAAAGCGGATGAAGAGGCAGCCAAGCTGGCTGCATTGGCGGAAGACGACGACCAGCCATGCACAAGTGCTCAGGCAGCAGCTAAGGCGGCCGCTCTCGCCGCTTTAAAGAAGAGTCCAGCAGCTCGTGGAAAGGTGATTGGGAAAAGGCGCCCCATTAATGGACGGATCTTTAAAATCGACGACGGAGATGACTCGGAGGAGGAATCGGACACGGAGGACGACGATGTTGACGAATTTGTTAATAACTTCCAAGCGAACGGTGATGTGAGTGGTGCCGACTCCGAAGTGGAAGCAGTAACATCACCAAAGAGAGATGCCTTGCCGCTTGTCGAGGAGGATGTGATAGATATAACGAGAGACGAGACTGGCAAAAAGAATGACGAAGCCACGCCCAACGGCAGGCTTAAGATAATGTCCGTCTCTAGTCTGAACGCCAATTTCGTCCATGGGCAGGATCCGCACAGAAAACCCTATCCCATGCCGAGTGCTAAGTCTGTCATTACCGACCAGATTGTCATTTCGGATGAGGAGTCATAGAAACAGTTTTACCCCCCCCCTATTTAAGTTATTTATTTAATATGTTCAGTTTGTTCCTGAATACGATCGGTTCACTAATTGTAATTTTTTCTACTCTCCTGACTAACAAAAATGCGGTGGGGTTGAATAGGTTTTTTGAACATCAATCATCAAAATTAATAAGTAAAACTTTATACAAAAGACAGATCATTTTATAAAGTCAGTGCGTCAAAGAATTTACGACTATTTGCAAAGTGTATATATTTAAAGTAAATTCAAATAATTTGTTCAAGTAAATCTCGTTTATTCAAATTTAAGTATCAAAATGAAAACATGTAAATTAAGTTGTTCAAAGATAACTTTCGCCCTTACATTTTTCTGGTTGCTATAATGGTTACCGATTCCACCACGCTTATTTTTTTAAAGTCCCTACCTTTGGGTACAAGCCACAAAACTACGGTAGTGTATATACGGAATACTACTAGTCTAAGTTAGTCGTAGAAAATAAACAGTGAGATGATGACAGAAAACGAAACTGTGCCTAGTTTATTCAATTTGAATGTTGCGCAGGAAACGGGATACATCTGATTCGTCGATGGCCGTGTCCTCGATGATGTCGAAGTGGTCGTACCCTTTGAAGAGCGTGAAGTTCGCCTTGTAGCCCTTCTTGCTCAGCACTTCAGCATAGTGGCGGCTCTGCTCGATGAAGGTGGTACTGTCATGCTCTGCAGCCACCACATAGATATTGGTAGAATTCCAAACGGAAACATCGGTGTATTCCCACAACATGGGCGAGACGGACTCAAGATTCCGCTCGTTGAGCCCCAGAATATTTTTGGGATTAACCGATTCCAAGTTCCAGAGCTCCCTCAGATCGTAGACGCCGCACAGGAAGACCAAAGCCCACACCATCTTACTCCTCTGTGGTGAAATCACATTCTGGCGAATGAGTATCTGGGCCAGCAAGTGGGCACCGGCCGAGTGTCCGGCCAAGGTGATCTCCTGCACATTGGTCATTTCGGCGTAGTCAAAGATCCAGTTTAGGAAGCTGGTGAACTGGGACATCAGCTGCTCGAGGGTGACTTCCGGGCACAGGTTGTAGTCCATGACGGCCACGCGGTATCCATGCCGCACCAGGGGACCCACAATCGAGCAGGACGTGCTCATGTCCATCTCCTGCCAGTAGCCCCCGTGCACGAAGACGAACAGCGGTGCGTGGTTGGAGGTCTTTTCGTTGTAGAACACATCCACCAACTGACGCCCTGATCCGTAGCGCAAGTGGTCCACAGTGATGCCCTGCTTCTCGGTCAGGTCCCTTTCATCTAAAAGTGGACTTTTAAATGGAGCTCTGCCGTGGGGAAAAGCAATTCTTACGCTGCTTGGTCACCCGAATGAAGTGCTCTAGCACGGCCAAATTCGGTTCCGGCTGCTCCTGAAACCTGACCGTGTGATAGCTGGGAAAATAGTCCCGATCAAGGTCTTTGCACCTCGGATTGTACATTACAGATAAGAGACAGTAAATCACTCAGACTTTGAAACAGATTAGAAAGGCAAAGTAGGTAGTGCGTAGGCTTAATTATTGTTACTGTTTGCGGTCTAGTGTAATGCAATATTAGAGCTTCAAGTCAAACCGGATTGCCAAAGCTGGACAGAACGTAAAATTAAGCTTTCGCATTAATTACCGGATCTGGAATGAATGAATGAAATCGAGTTTTGCAGCACTAAACACCAGGGAGGTTTGAAATCTGTTTACAAGTTAAAATCTGAAGAACAAAACCCCTAATTTTTGACATTTTATTATTGGTAGTCATTAAATAAAAAATTGTATATACAAAATGTTAGACGCTGAAATATAGTTTATTGGAAATAAATCAGTTCAAAAATTACCCAAATGAATTCATTGAAAAAAGTTTTTTTTTTTTAAAAAAGCGTTGCCACATGCGATTTGTGTCAGTTGTATTAAGCTTTGATGCAACGGTCACACTGTGACAACTCGACGATAACAACGCCTTCTAATATCGATGCTCGATAGTCACCGATAAGTTTGGACAAATAAGCCAACTCAGCCGAAAGAATTCTGTTTTTCTAGCAAATTTTAAAATATTCACGAGAATGAGCCGACAACAGAACGATGAGGACACCAACTCGGTGTTATTCGATGCCCGCAACGAGTACTACATCGGCAACTTCATGGGCTCGATCAACTTCGTGCTGCCAGAGCAAGGCACTGCGGGACCGGAGCTCCTGTCGTACATGTACCTCTCTTACTTGGCCATTGATTCCGGGCGTATCGTGGCATCGGATATCAAGGAGGGAAACTCCACGCCCCTGCAGGCCTTGCGACTTGTGCATGAAGCCTTTGAGCAGCCTTCGAGAACTGAGGAGCTACTGGAGAAACTCACGGACAAGGTGGCCGGAGAGGAGGATGAGACCAACATCTGGCACCTCGCCACCGCCATCGTCTACTGCCACGACGGGCAGTTCGAGAACGCACTGAAGATCCTGCATGGCTCCACCAATCTAGAGTCCATGGCTCTGTCGGTCCAGTGCCTGCTGCGCCTGCAGCGCGTGGATCTGGCCAAGCAGCTGGTGGCCAAGATGCAGGAGATCAGCGACGACGCTACGCTGACTCAGCTCGCTCAGGCGTGGGTGGCCCTCGCCCAGGGCACAGAACAGATGCAGGATGCCTTTCACATATACCAGGAGTTCTGTGAAAAGTTCAAGCCAACTCCGGCGCTGCTGAATGGCCAAGCGGTCGTTCATTTGGGTCTGGAGCGATATGAGGAGGCTGATTCCGTGCTGCGTGAATCTCTGCTGAAGAAGCACAACGATTACGACACCCTGATCAATCTGATGGTTCATGCCCACCTTACGGGCAAACCGACAGAGGCTATCACCCGGAATCTAGAGCAGCTGAGGCAGTTCTATCCCAAGAGCGACTTTGTTACCGATCTGGACAAGAAGTCAGCGGAGTTCGACCGTCTGTGCCTGCAGTACGATGTCGAGGGTGGGGAAAAACTGCTCGCCATCTAGACTTACGAAGGAATTCCAAATATTCATTTATCAAAACCTTTTGTTTATGTATTAAACTACAATAAAAATTTATTAGAAATGTATGAGGTAGCGGAGAGCACATCAGTAGCTGTAAAGGGAAAACAAGGTATTAGGGTAGAATTTAAATGTTCGGTTTGTTCTGGGTACTCACTTCTGTTTGAAGCCATATTTCTTGCGTTCATAGAACAGGTCAGTCTTGGAGCTTCCCAGATTTACGATTTTGGGGCATCCGTCGCGCTACAAGAACCAAGGTACCAATTAATGGCACAGAATGCACCAAGAATGACTGGCTAACTCACGTCTTTTTCCTGAATGGTGCAGGACTTGCAGTAGTAGGCATCGGAAACTCCAGGTCCGCCGCAGATGACGCACCTGCCCTGGTAAGATCCGTAGTTGCACTCGTCGCAGATCCGCACCAAGGTGCAAGGCCGCACGTAGGAGTCGCAGATCACACACTTTCCGTCGTCCTTTTCGCACAGGCGTCCAATGGCTGCCGCATGGGATGGTGAAAATGATCAAATTATTGAATTGCCGTGTGTTTTCATAGGGTTTTATTTGAGAACTCACCCACGCCGGGTTGCTTGCGGCAGAAAATCAAATCCGGATGATGTTTGGCCATGATTTAATGGTACTTTTCAGTCAGCAAATATAAAAACAATTGCAGAAAAAGCGGCGACTTTCTTAGTGTGACCTTAACGCACTCTAGCCTTCAGGGCTGTCTAGTATTCAAAATATTCATTTAGGGCGTTCATCAAAACCTATGCTGGTTAGGATATAAGAAAGCAAAATGAACTGGTATATTGTGAATTTTATATGATGAAATTATAAATTTGAAAAAATCTATTTTCAAACCACTTTATGAAACCAAATAATCCTTAAAAGCACTTGGCAGCCCTACACCATTGCAGTTTGGACATTCACAGCGACTAGTAAACAACAACAGCTGTTGGCATTCTCGAATTTTATTTTCTGTATTCGCATTCAGCTTTGGTACAAAATATTGCAAAAACACGCCCACAATGCAACAGCTCAGTTAGGACATTGTAGGGCACTAAACATAGAAACCAGGACTTCAGAAAGGCCACCAGCGAAATGTCGCAGGCTGCATCAACGACGCAAAGTGCAACCGCTGCACCGGTGGGCGGCAGCAGACGCAATGAAGTGGGCGGCGTGGGCGTCATAGGGACCACCATGTCGGCTAGATATGGAGAAACGGAATGGGAGGCTCGAGAGGTGCGTATTGGAGTGTGATGCTTACCCATCTCAATTACCCAGCAATTAATCTCTTATTTTCTATTCAGTCCCAGCGACAAAGGGAACTGCACGAAGCTCGAGCACGGGCAGCGCAAATGGAGAAAACCATGAAGTGGTGGTAAGTGGAGTAGCTCTTCCTGGTCAAAACAATCTGGTAATCGAAACATCAACCATTCCAGGTCAGACTGCACCGCCAACTGGCGGGAGAAGTGGAGTAAGGTAATTCGGTTACCATGGCTTTCAAGTTGGGTCAATACCACCGGTATCCAATAACAAAACTTTTCACTTTTCGCAGGTCCGCAACGAGCGGAATAAGGCCAGAGAGGAGTCCAAGCAGCTGAGCCTCAAACTGGACGGCGCCATGAAGGAAGCCCACTCCCTGAAGCGGGAGAAGAACGATCTCGAGTTGCAGATCACGCAGCTGAAGAAGGAGATGGAGAAAGTACACACGCTGATGATGAAGCACGCCGGTCAGTTTCATCGGGCCGACACTAGCGAGGATGCGGAGGCCAACGGGCGGGATGCCAACTGCTCGCCGGACATATCCTCGGATGGCTTGAAGAACATCAATAGCGAGGACGGCTTGGTTACCAAGCTGACCAATGATGTGAAGGATCTAGACATTGAGGAGTTTGCTATGAAGGGGGCTATGCCCAAGCATCTGACCGAATTGGATGAAGCGGCGGCTGCCGAGGAGAAACGCCTGATTCAGCAATTGTCCAAGGATGACTTTGACGAGGACTACTTGCTGCAAAAAATATCCATGCTGCAATTGCGTCTGGACGAGGCTCAGAAAACTCTTCAAGCGGAAAGGGAGTGAGTAATCTATATTTCAATAACGTACGAATATCGTTAAACGTTAACTGATTTATTTCGCAGTGAAAAGCTGGAGCTGCACAAGAGCATTGAGAAATTGACGCTGGAGATCCAGGATGTGCGCGGACGTCAAGAGGAGATGCGATCGGCCAAACAGGAGGCAGTGCGCGAACTCTTAACTCTTCAAGAACAACATCGTGCTGAGATGCGTATAGTGAACAACTCCCTGCAGGAGGAGATTGCCGCCCGTGAGAATCTCGAGCGCCGGTAAGCAAAAATGCCTTCTATACTTTGGCTATAGTAACTATGGCTTCATTTTAGCCTTACGGAACTTCGCACTGAGTTGGAGCACCTTCAGGCGGAGAACGCCTCCGAATGGGGCAAGCGCGAGCGACTGGAGTCCGAGAAATTGGCCATGGAGCGTGACAACAAGAAACTGCGCGCAGAACTGCGGGATTACCAGGAACGTTCTGATCGTAAGTGCCGACCCATGCAAGCTAATGACGTGGAGCTGCGAGCATTGCAGCAGGAACTTTCGGAGCGCAACAAGGAGATCAGCGAGGTGAAGATGTCGCACGCCAAGCTAAAGAAGTTGCTGGCCGAAACAAACACGGAGCTGGGACACGCTGTGCGGCGCGCCGAGCAGTACGAGGCGGAGGTAAGTAAATCCACACCCAAAAATCTTATCGGATGATATATGGATCAGATTAGGCATATCAGCTTATCAGCCTAGGAAAACTTAGAGATGTAGCAGCCTTCCTTGCCGAATTCACTTTCGTTAACATTTATTCTCATTGACACTTGGACGTAAAACAAATTAGTAAATGCAGTACTTATGGATTATTGAAAGAAGTACATTAGTTAGCGAATGCCGCCAGTCCTGTGATGGCTCGGCCCAGGATCAAGGCGTGTATATCGTGTGTGCCCTCATAGGTGTTAACCGACTCCAGGTTGATTACATGCCTGATCACATGGTATTCGTCGCTGATTCCATTAGCACCCAGCATGTCCCTCATTTGGCGCGCAATATCTAGCGATTTGCCAGTATTGTTTCGCTTAAGAAGGGAAATCATGTCGGGCGTATGGAGCTTCTGATCCTTAAGGCGACCCACATGCAGACAAGCCTGCAGGCCCAAAGCAATCTCCGTGATGGCATCGGCCAGCTTCTTTTGGATCAACTGATTGGCAGCCAAAGGACGGCCGAATTGCTTGCGATCCAGTGTATACTGGCGAGCAATCTCCACACAGGTTTCGGCTGCTCCCAGGGCTCCCCACGCGATTCCATAGCGAGCGTTGTTAAGACAGCTGAAGGGTCCGCTAAAGCCTGCCACATTGGGTAGCAATTGCTCCTCTGGCACACGTACCTCGTCCATCAGGATCATACCCGTGGGCGAAGCTCGCAGCGAGAACTTGCCCTCGATCTTTGGCGTCTCCAATCCCTTGCCGGATATCTTGCGGTCCACCAGGAAGCCGCGCACCTTGCCATCCTCGCATTTGGCCCATACGACTATGACGTCCGCGATGGGCGCACTGGTAATCCAGGTCTTAGATCCGTTCAGGATGTATGTCTTGCTTTTGCTGTCGTATTTGGCACGGGTCTCCATGCCAGCGGGGTCACTACCGTGGTTGGGCTCCGTTAGGCCAAAGGCTCCTGGATAAGTATGAGAAAAAGTTGAGATTCGCTTAGGAGCATCTGAACTATACTACGGTACCTTTATTCACTCCAGATTAAAATTTTTTTTAAATTAAAATCATTACATTCATTTGGGACTCACCAATCAGTTTGCCCTCCGCCATGCTGGGCAAATAGCGTTGCTTCTGCTCCTCGGATCCAAAGTCGTAAATGGCGCCCATGGCCAGCGAGCTCTGGACACTGACGGCGGACCGATAAGCGGAGTCCACGCGCTCCACCTCGCGGGTCAGCAGTCCGTAGGCAACGCTAGAGACTCCGGCGCAACCGTATCCCTTGATGGTGCAGCCCAAAACACCCAGGCTGCCGATCTCTTCCATAATCTTCTTGTCGAACGTCTCCAGGCGATTGGCCATCTTGACGCGCGGTTGTAGTTCCGCCTGGCAGTATCCACGGAACGCATCCCGAATGGCCACCTCCTCCTCGGTCAGCTGGCTCTCCAGATTCAGCGGGTCCTGCCAGTTGAACTTGGGAGCTGCGGCTTTGGAGCTCGTGCTGGCCAAGCGACGGGCGCACGGTCGCAGTTTGCTGATTACACTTTGCGCAATCATAATTCCTATTCGGTTCTGTCTTTTGTGTTGGAAGTGCCCAGCCGGTTCTCCACGGAACAGCTGCTCGATTTGACGTTCGGCGAGAGACTGAAGAAAGCTCAAATCTACAGCGAGAGCTTTTGTCTGCCTGTTCTTCGCGCGGTCTCTTTGCCTTCGCCTCTTTCTTCGCCACTTTGTTTACCTCGATTTAATATTGTTGTTATGCCCGATCTTAATCTGGGGGTTCTAAATTTTTCGCACTATCGCGCTTATTTTTGACTTGACGATAGAAACCAAGAGTGATAGAAACGCGAGTGGAAGGAAATTTTTTCCCATTTCAAGCGTTATCACCACTTTGCGGGGGTCGTTTGATTATCAGTTGTGTTTGAATACTGTTAGACACGCCCCTTTTGATCGTTGTGTTTTGAGTACAGATGCAACATTTGGGATTTGAATAAAAACCATTGTTGGTACATCTAAATATGTAGCTACTAATTTCCCTATTTAACTGCAGGTGAAGCGCCTTCGCCAGCGCGTTGAGGAGCTGAAACGGGAGCTAGCTGGTGCTGAGGACGAACTGGATTCGGCAGTTAACCAAGTGCGTCGCTTGCAGCGCTCCAACGATGAGCTAGTGGGTCAGACGGAAGGGATGCAGGTGCAGATTCAGCATCTCCAGAATAGGTAAGATCAACAGAAATATTTCAATTTGCATACGGATAAGTCTTTTGATTAACTCCGATAACCACTAACTTTTCCACTGGTGCTGGCTTGACTAATAACCTAACTCCTAACCCACACTTAACCCATCGCAAAAGACGTGCTCCGAGTCCCCAGCTGCGGGGAATGGGCGGGGTGCAGCTGAGGAATAAGATTGCCGTGGAGCTGCCCAACGACTGTCTGCCAAACATCAACGATCTTCGCCAGATCTTCGATGACTCGCAGGCAGGTTTAAGGAGCTCCCACAATGGCAGTGACGCAGCTGTGCATCATGCAGCTTCCGTAAAGAGATCTAGTCACACGGAACGTACGCTCCTGCAGCAACAGCAGAGTAGCGCTGCGGCATCTGCAGCGGCGGCGGCAGCGGCAGCAGCTGCTTTTTTTGATGCCAAGCCCACGCATCTTGAGGAGAACATATTTGAGTCAAAGTCGCGAAACCTGGAGTTCGAGCGGGCCAAGCAGAAATTCGATAATCCACACGGACAGCACCATCACCATCACCAGAGACAGAGATCCGGAAACGGACGTTATGGGAGCGCAGGAAGCAATGCCAGTCGTGCGAATCTTGCGCTGCCCTTGAAGGGAACGACCAATGGAGGCGGCAGCTCCGCTTCCAGTAAGGATGAGCTGAACCGCCAGCTGTACGAGAAGGAGCAGTCTGCAGGCGCAGGATATGCGAGAAACAGCATTAATCTAGACGGCCTCAAGGTGTCCGACGATGAGGTGAGATTGGAGGAAGAGAAACGATTGCTATCAGTAACCACTTTTTTGTTAGTTATTATGAGGAACATCATTAGTTTGAGTTCTTATAGCATGACTAATCCTTACTGCACGTATTGTTCTACTAATCAATGCACTATTCCCATCCAATATAAAACTATTGTTATTTTGAATTTCAGACTCCGTAGCTATGGTTCGACAAGCTTGCTGCTGGACGACGAGACGGAGGGTAACAGCGATTAGGATAACCGGACAAAAGACATTTGAGAGACAGTAATGGTATTAACCTTAAGTATTAATTCGCAAGTACTTCAATGTTGGTAGGACAACGGTCCCAAATATAATCCGCATTCCTAGTTTATATTTGGGGCTACTACCAACCGGTGCCCCAGGTTTTTATAAGAAAAACTATTGCAGAACGATAGTTCATGAACAAATACTTATTTATAACTAAGATATTCTTAATTTCGCGACTAATTCCAATCATCAGATCACCAGCTAGCCACGTTCATATCTTCAATATTCCAAGTAATTTAAGGATAACGTTTGAAACTCATTTTGCTGGCCATATTCTTATGAGCTTAACTCGCAGATAAGACGGTTGTTAGGAGGATTCTCCTTCACATCCTTTCACCCTCATTGGAAACCCTTGCCTTTACTAAAAATGAACAGACTTAATAACAGATATATCGACATATATACGTATGGAAGCATAATACAGGTTCGATGTTTGCGGAATAGCATTTAGTGCCAGAAATCTAAAGAAATTGTATGAGTTTTAAGAAAGCATGGGAGAAATGCTGCTATTTATTAATCGACATTAACTGAAATTATACACGTAATTCTCACTACAGATTTAGACATTTTTGCAGTTGCCTAGTCCGAAATTCTTTTATTTTTTCAAAAGTTTATCGATATTCAGCAGCATAGTTGATCTTTTACAAAATATATATACACATTAACAAACCAGAATTCAAAATATTTACGTATTATAACATAGCAATATTAGTATTTTAGCTATTGATAAATAACAATTTATTATTAACTATTAAAAGTATATAAATACAAATGATATGCCAATAAAGGTAGCATGTTACAAGATAAACCCACCCGTACTTGTAGTTTTTTTTGCGAATCCTGTCCTGCCCTTTCGTCGTCTACATAGAAACACAGTGCCTTCTGTCAGATCAACATTTCAGCCATACAGATTTTGTAAAAAATTAAGAGTTGGGAAAAACCTAAAATTTCAGTCATGGTTCAACTTTCGCGGACTTCAAAATTAACCATCGTTTGTGTGGCCGTCTATATGATCTATGTCCTGTTCACATTCTTTCTTTTGCCCATACTTATGCCGGACCCGGTGACTCTGCAGCGATCATTGCTGTCCTACAGCACCAGCCACCTGGGCGATCTGAGCAACTTGACTATGGAAACCGGCGGCCAGCCGATCCGCTCAATGCTCGTCACGTTCCGGGGATCGGGTGCCCTGACCCTGCTGGACAACCTGGCGCATCAGCCGGGTTGCTATCAGCACTACGCTCCACTGATCGCCTACGAAAGCCGTCCCATTGCCGCAAAGGAGCACGATCGGGCCTTGGAGGAGCTGGTGGCGCTGTACAACTGCAACTACAACATGTCTGCGGAGATGATCCAATGGGGAATGCGATCGCCGGTGTTCCGACGCTTCTACGGCGCACAGGCCAAGATCTGTCGCACTTACAGCCAGGTGACGTGCTGGGATCCCGAGACTATGGCCGCCGTCTGCAAGCTGCACCCATTCATCAACATGGCGGTGTACAACTTGCGTCTGAGTCTCCTCGCTTCCCTATTGGAACGCAAAGAGTGAGTAGTGGTAGCAAATTTGTCAATTTAATCACTTTACATCAAATTCCTCATTTCTAGACTGCATTTGAGCATCCTACTGCTTGTCCGCGATCCTCGAGGCACCATTTATTCCCGAATGAATAACAAGTGGTGCTTGAATGAAAGGGATTGCGACGCACAGGCCCTTTGCAGCGACATGGTCAGTGATTATCAGATGGTCGAGACCCTCATCCAATCGTATCCCCAGCGTTTCAGGTATGGTCTATTTGTCCATTTCTTATTTCTCTTTATGTATATGCGTATTCCACAGCATTATACGTTACGAGGACTTGGCCCTGCAGCCCGAGGAGAGTATCAAACAGGTATTCGCCTTCTACGGGTTGCCCCTGGAACGAGCCAAGCCCAGGACTCAGAAAATTCATCCGCGCAGTGGCTATTTCGCAGAGTCCTCCCACTGGGAGGAGCTGTTCAACCAGCCCGCCTTCGAGTGGATCAGCGAAATGACGGTGGACGACATTGCGGCCGTACAGGACGTGTGCGGCCAGGCCATGGACCTATGGGGGTATCGCTCGATTCAGGACTTCCAGCACTTTTCACCGGAATCTTTTCAACCTGTTTTGGGCAAAGCCTAGGTATTCGTGGGCAGGGGATGGAGGTAGTGGGCAGCGGTTTGATATGAACGCTTTACTTTAGGTATAGACTGTAGTATAGACTGCGAGTAAATATGTGCATTTGATTTATTCCTACGCCAACTTCATTCACATTAATTTAAAGATTTGGGTTCTTAAAAAACAATTTTGGTGGGAGTCCGCACTACACGACTGGCCAAGTTTCCCACCGCCACCAGTAACTGCTTCACTGTGATTTCATGGAATATTTAGGGCATTCGTTTTCCGCGATTTCGTTGCTCGCCGCGGCATGTTTCCACCTGCCCGCAACGGTCACTTTGTTGTTGTCAATCGTTCCGTTCGCATCGCGTCGCGTCACGGAAAATCGAGACGTAAATACGGAAAACAAAGATATAACTCAGACGCGACGTCTTCCGCAGGGAACGGCCATGCGCTCGAGTTGAGGGCGCGCCGATAACTATGTGCGTGTGGAAGCGAGTGCGAGTATAGCACAAAAGTGGATTACGCCAGAAATCAGCCTCCAGTAATTAGCGAGTGACCAATGAGCACGGGCATTGGCAGCAGCAGTACGGAGGAGCAGCACCTGGATCTGAGCGCGGACTTGGAGGCGTGCTCCCTGCTTGGCCAGCAGGACCCGTCGAACGTCGATACCGGCAGGACACGCGCTAAGCAGCGCCTCAGCTTGAACGGGAAGCGGCGCCGCAGCCGGATGTCGCGCAGGGCCAATCTGATAGGCATCTGCGGCGTGAGCAGCCTGTGCATCCTGCTGCTGATCGCCACCACCCAGCACCGTCCGCTGTCCACACCGTTTAATCAGGCGGCTGGGCGGGATCAGGGCGCGGGCGGTGGAGGTGCGGCGTCCGTAGATGGCGGACCATCCAATTCGCTGGCGCGCAGCGCCTTCTATGATCGCTTCCAGCAGCAACTGCAGCAGCAGCAGCCGTCGCAGACGGCCGTCTACAATCTGACAGCTACTATAGTGGATGTCCTGTCGGCTCAACGGTCGCGCATCCTCGCCGAAATGGAGAACTTCGAGTACCCGCGCGGCGGAGCCGAGCGTCTGGCGGACATGACGCCGGAGACGAACGGCACCCCGGTGCGCAGTGTGGTGGTCACCTCCTGGCGCTCCGGCTCCACCTTCCTGGGCGACATCCTCAACTCTATTCCGGGCAACTTCTATCACTATGAGCCGCTGCTTGACTTTGGCATCAAGCAGATCCGCGATCCCGATGACCAGGAGCTGGCCGTGCAGAACCTGAAGAACCTGCTCAACTGCGACTACGCCGACATGATCGACTACCTGAACTTCGGCAAGACGCACACCTATCTGTTCGAGCACAACACCCGACTGTGGGACGTCTGCCGGGAGTTCCCGCGCTTCTGCTGGCGTCCAGCCTTCCTCTCGCGCTTCTGCCGCCTCTTCCCCATCCAGAGCATGAAGACCGTCCGCCTGCGACTCGCCCAGGCCGAAAAGCTGCTCGAGGACCAAAGGTGAGTGGGCCCAGACATCCGGGTAGAAAGTGAAAGCCAACTGGCATGGGATATGCAACGCATCTCGGGCGGATTGTTTATTCGGGGACCCTGGAGTGTGATGTCTTAGGAGAAAGCTATTTACCGCATTGACTCGTGCCGTCTTTAAACCTTTATAGGCTGCTTTAACCATACCCCATAATAACCTTCGCACCCGGAACCGTGAATACTAATTAACTATCTAATATTTGAGCGATTGAAATTTTGCTCTCTTGATTATGTTCCTTCAGTTCACATATTACAGTCACTGGTTGCTTCTGCGTGGCACATCAAACTCAAGAAACGCAGTGACTTCATTATGAAATTTTGGATTTATCAGTTTTCAGCATGCATGCAGCATGTCATTATCGTTAATGCTTTGTTATATTCTCCACTCCGAGTCAGTCAGTATTTCATTTATTTGCCCCAACAATGGCTTAATCTTACTCTGTGCATCCCATTTTTATCTTTCGAGCAGGCCAAGGCCTTCTTTTCGTGATAAGTTTCGAGAAGCAAATGCTAAAGTATTTTCTTAGTCTTGCCAGCTAAGCTTCCTCGGCCAGTCAACTTATTCGTTTTATCTATATCGAAATGTGGTTTATTTTAAATTCAAAGTCTGCGTCTTTAGTATGTGTTTTGAAAGAAATATACGAACAGTAATCAGTCTTGTATATAAAAGGTTCATTTGGAATTTTTCGTAATTACCTTCAACTAATGCTCGCTTACTTTTCAACAATAGAAAATAATTATCTGTATTTTATTTATTTTCCGAGTGCAAGCACGTTATCGTTCTGGTTTGTTACCCCAATTACTTGTTGGGCTTCCGAAGTTTTTGAACGCGACGGTGATATGATAGATATGGCGTGGATATGAAGGCTTGGTGGCTGGGTAATCGTTCCGCTTCCACTTTTTCGAGATTAGACTGTATCACATGAAATGGGAATGTAGTGAAGATAAGCATTTCAAGGTATTTACTTTCGGCTAAGTGAAAACATTTTCACGTCAGAGTAAATCCTTGGATCGATTTATTTCAATACAATCGATTTGAAATCTCGTTGGGGCATTCCCCAAACCCCGCAAACAAAGATTCATTTACATAATTTCCCATTTAAAATGTAAGCCGGCCAACAATAGCAGAAATCGATAAAATTAGTGTACAGCAATCTCTAGCTAAACAAACCAGCGACAAGTAAACAGAAACCGAAAATGTATTTGATTGATGTGGGGTTCTGGTTCTTTGGCCACCCCAAACCCAAATCCTCCTCAACTGGCTTTTGTGGTTTCGATTACATGCTCCGATCATTTCTTTTGTAAGGACATTCTGGATATGTATAAGATTCGGCTTTTGTGTGGGCTGAGTTGTGTCAATGTTATGCAAAGGATATCCAAAAACAATTTCAATCAATGAGAGCGAATCTGACATTTGTGCACAGATTTCTGTTCAATAAATAAACGAATTGGTAGAGATAAAATGTCTGAGTGGAAAATGTCATTTATAGTCCACTTCTTGTGGCGCATAAATGTCAGAAGAAATGTTTAATGGCTTCTAGTGAATAGCACTTTTAGCATAGGAGGGTCATCTTCCTCCTCTGAAAAGCGGAAAACAATTAACACACTAAATCATGAGCTGAATGTACTCAGTTACGACTTTGCACCACAAAACTTACAAACTCTTTAGCTTGCTTAGGTTTAGCTTGCTGAATTTCTCTTTTGGCCTGCTAACTTTGTTTTCCTAGTTCCACTACTCCTAATCTATTTTCTTCTATTTTGGTGCTGTTTATATGCTCTTATCTCAACTTGTTTATTTAAATTAAATGAGTTACTTTGTATTCTTATATGTTGTGTTTTTAGAAGTAACCAATTCTTATAGATAATAGTTCACTTAATCATAAAAAAGTAGCTATGTTGGGACTTTAATTCTAGGCTGCCACAATAGAGATTATTCTTTAATATCTGGTCAGCGTTTGCATGATTCTTGTTTACGATAACTTTAAGCTTCACTTCAAATAGAAAAGTGCCTCATACAATTAGCTTTGTATAAGCACTTTTCACTTAAGTTCCGCCTCTTACTCAGTTCTTTGTACTCTCTTTTACGGACTGCAGTAAAAATTCTTTCACACTCTATTAACTTGGCCCGCTGGCCGCTGGGAAATGCATCAAAATTCCGGAAATGCTGACCAGCACTTGGATTTATGTTGCCTGCGGTCCAACATCATCCCAGCCACACACTTAGCCACAATTTGGGTCAGTGCGAGTATTGTGGGGCGAAAAGCCGTGTTTGGTGAGTCACTAAGCGACCGCTAACTTGGCTTCTAATTGTCGATTGTCCGATTCTCGCCGGCTGGGTGTGTCTAGAATTTTTGGGGGAACTGGGCGAAGCTTTCCCACAATTATCGCGTATACGCCGTGGTGGTCGACGGTCTCTTAAATTTAATGCCCAGTGAGCATTTCATTTATAAATCACACATTATTTTTATGTGATATTTCATGGTCTCCTTCCCGCCACTCAGGTGCGATAAGGAAGAAATTGTGGCTAATGAAATGAATTACCAAATGGGGCAGTTGTATTTTTATTCGTCAATGAGTCACGAGCTTTATTGCAAACTTTATTATTACTACTTCCATTGAGCACTAAACGTATAGAACCAATCACGGAATGTAAATTGCATTGTGATATTTTGTTTATTCCAACAAAAGGTCGGGCTTTATAAAATTTCTTCACGCTGCTAGTAAAGCCTTTCAGTAAGCTTTTCATTTAATTTGGCTCGGCGCGCTACGGTTTTGTGGCCGCTAACTTTGAGAGGCTTTTGGCATCAAGTAGATTAAAATTGTGAGCATTGAATGCGCCCACAGGCCGCATGGAAGATGGCGAAAAAAGTTGCATTCAAATAGTTGCCAACAGAACCAAAAGAACCGAAAGAGCCGAAAGAACCGCAGAAACCACAAAGAGTTTGAGCCCAGTCAGTTTCAGTTGGCTTATAATGAGCAAAGTGGCCATTAACTCAAAAACTTTTCCGCGCTGCGTTTTAAAGCGGCCCAAACTGCCAACAAACAATGAGAACGAGACGGAAGAAGAAGCCGCTAGACGTCAAGAGCCCGCAGTTTTGGGCTGCTGTAAGACCCGGTTCTCGGAAGCCTATTGCGCCATAGACCCCATTCTGGGCCGTTTAGCATTTTTCTCGTTTTGAACCTTTGACTTGACAGTTTTGTCAAAAGAGTCAGCAATTGGTTGGCGGTGGAGAGAGACGGCTATAGACGGTGCGAAAGAGACCGATCGTGGGTTCAGTGAACGTTCAAGTAGAATAGTTTTCATGCCCAATGCGGGTGTATGGATTTCTTTATAGAGGCACAGATACATATTCATATGCATGACAACGTAGGATTACTAACTACAAGAAAAGATGTATTATTCACATTAAGCAAAGATAGTAGTTCATTAGGTGGGCAATTGAAATTGTATGTAGAGTATGTAGAGCAAGTGTAACTCGGCTATCTTACACGAACTT